TGGAGGCAGTTGTGTGAAGGGAGTGGAGGCAGTTGCATGAAGGGATTGGAGGCACAATGAAAGATGCACTGTTTGAAACAATGTGCATGCAATGGAGCACGATAGACGATCTCAGTCGAGGAAACAGAAAACTGACTTACCAACTGATCGATGTTGTAGAAGGAAGCTGGGAGATCGATGTTGCGCATCTGATCTGTGTATCTCTTTGGTCGCTCTGGATCTCGTGCTGGATCACCTCGAGGGGCATTTCCTTGAACTTGAGGTGGTGGACCGCCAGACTGGCTGCTTCGACGACTGCCAGGAGCCTGTGACTGAGGTTCGAAGCCTCCTTGCGGGACACCGGGACTACCAGCACCAGACGCAGCAGAGGGAGCTGTAGAGGCACCACGACCTGCAGAGCCAGGACCGGACTGTGAGGCGCTTCCTCGAGAAGCAGGCCCATCAAAGCCGCCGCCTGGGACTTGGAGTCGATCGCCACGACGAGAAGAGGTTTCGGACGGCTGCTGACCCCTAGTCGCGCGGCCGGCGCCTCTCTTGCGGGCTGCTCCAGACATGATGACTCAAAGAGCGGGTAGACTGGTGATTGCGAAGTCAGTATGTGGGTTTTGTCGAGAGTAAGACAAGACCCGGATCTGGCCAAAATGTGGGTGTGGTCGATCACGATGAGGAATGTGAGAACGTGAGGATGAAGAGCTAAGAGTTATGGGGTCTACGGTAATGAAGATGAGATGGACAGCCGATAGAAGGGGAAAGAGGTTGTTGATTGAGGTTTAGGGAGAGTTTGTGAATCTGTGGTTTGTTGTGTTGTTTGTTTTGCAGGTGAGGCAGACAAGAGATGAGGTAGAGAGTAAGTGTTGGGAACGCAATCACAACTTCTTGTTTGGGACTGTGTCTCTGATGCAAGGGTTGATTGCTGCAGGAAGGTGGGAGCGACAGAAAACAGAGATGCCAGTTACTCACCTGTGCTGATCTGCGAAGGTGGAAGTTGGCTGGTGAGCGATGCTGTTGGTGGTAAGGTGAGGCTGGTTCTCGAGAGTTCCCAGGCACGCGGCTGAGAAGACTGGAGGAACAAGAGCTGTCGCTTGCCTCTCGTAGAGGAAGCTAAAGAAGGTGGACGATGACGAACAAGGACAAGGAACAGGAAGAGAATGAAGAAGGTTGGTATAGAGAAGGGATCAAAGTGGTCGAAGGGAGGAGGGAGGAGTAGATATTTGTAGCCTTGAGGCTCAATCACATGTTCTCAATCAATGCAAGACGCGCGGCGTGACACAGCAAGTGACAGAACAGGACGCGAGATTGAATGGTGAAGGCACGGATCTGAGAGATGAGATGAGAGACGAGAGTGAAAGGGGGCAGCGTCGTCTCCGTCGTCTCAGTCGTCTCTCACTTCTCTCTCAGATCTGGCCAGACTTTCTCTGTGTTGAGCACTGGCGGTGAGGGTGGAATACAAAACAAAGTTGAGCTGTGGACACACCCACGACACTCATTCCTCTCCGCATATCAACTATTCTCCATCCATTCTAGCCTCACTAGCCTCAGCGGCACACAAGACGCCGTACCAATGGCTCGTCAAGCCCTGGCACCAACCTTCTCATCGTTGCCTGCGGAATCTGCACAGCCCATTGGATCAAACCGCCATCAGCAAACACTGAAAGCACCTCACGCGAACACCCTTACACATACTCCCTCCCCGTACAGTCTTCTACCCAAGGCTGCCCTGTATTATACAGCAAGGAAACAAGAGGGGGACGACAGGGACAAGAACTGGAAGGCTAGACGCAGTCCAAACAACCAAGATATTATTCTCTGAAATTTCAATGCTGGCTGGCTAAAACTAGCCGACTTTTCGACCCCGCGAAATTCCAATGTAGCCTGCCTGTCTGGGGGCTTTGTGATGGCGTCCATTTCCTGCCATCTCCCTTGATCAGGACTCCTAATTGGCTAAGATGCTGAAAAATGAAGTATTGGTTTTACATCACGCCCTGCCCTCCCAATCCATCCGTCGCCCTCCAGTACAGTGGCCGTGTCTAAGCGTAGCGGAACGGTGCTAGTACCCTTGTCAGTGACGTGGTTTCGAGAGCTGAGACTATGACAGCCACTTACCTCCCCCGTATGGACTTTGTGTAACGCTAGGCGGCGGCGCGAAGCCTTGAGGCGGGATCGGCACTGGTGGATGCGGATAAGCTGGCCAACCTGGCTGAGGTGCTGGGGCTGGAGTCTGGCTGTGCTGCGCTGGAACTGCTGCTGGCGGAGGTAGACGAACGTCTCGAATGAGCTCCATGATCTTCGTGGCGTCAAATCTGGTATCGACATACGTCGAAGCCTTTGGTAGGATGCTCAGAAGGTAAACAACTGCTGGGGGTAATGGGGGAGGAGCTTGGAACTGTGGCATCCCGATGGGAGGGTTGATCTGACGCTGCTGCTGCTGCTGCTGTTGTTGCTGCTGTTGTTGTTGCTGCTGCTGCTGTTGATTCATGCGGCGGCCCGCTGCACCCTTCAAGGGCGACTCACCGCGTGCCAGTTTACGTGGCCCGACATCCTCAAAATCATCTGGGAATGGCCGCTTCGGAGAGTTGGTTGTAATCGCGTCGATCACCTTCTGTATGGGCGAGTTGACGACTTCCGGCATCTCCACCGACGGCATGACCGCAGTCTGCAGAGGCTTGACTTGGTGTGGTGAGATGACGGGGTACGCGTTGATGGTGTCAAAGGTGGATGTGTTGTATCGGCTGGAGAAGAGTTTGAGCATAGGATCTTCCGGGAAGTGCTTCTTCATCCGCTCTTCCAGCGACTGGACTTGAGCCAGTTCACCGTATTTGGATTCGTAGTCGTGCAGGAAAGCAAACAACGGTTTGGCCTTTGCTGTATGTGCGGCGTCATCGTGAGCCAGGAGTCTCTTGACCGTAGTTTCGAAAACCGCTCGTGCATTCGTGACATCGTTGATATCAAAGAGGTGCTTGACGTACTGCAACGGGAGGTAGTCGTCTTCGGGAAACAGCTTCATACCACGGTCGAGGATCTTGGTACCGGTAGGATCCCGGTAGCATTGCCACTCAATGCGCGCAGATTCGACATAAAAGTCGCTCGTAAGCTTGCCTCTCTTACGTGCCTCGCCAAAGACAGCACGGAACCCACTAGGTCCCCGTTCTGTTGGCAATCCTTTCCCCTGCACTCGTCTGGTTGCTCGCATCAGCGCAATCCAAACATGCGAGACCATTCGACTGAGGACATCGGTCTGTGCTTGGGCAGTCTTCTTGATCGTCTCAATCTGACTATCAATGGCAGCCTTCTTGGCGGCGACGTTGGAAGCGTTGATGTCGTCGTCCTCCGACTCAACTCCATTGCCAGCAGCAGTGAGTTCGACCTTTTGAATGTCCTGCTTCTCACGGAGCGATACTTTCTTGATCAGATCATAGAGTGCGTCCAGAAGTTTGTCATACGGCTCTCGAATCTTCTTCATCCGTTCTTTGGCGCCAGGATCTGCACCTTCGTCGTTCTGGGTCGATGCCTCAATACGATCCGCCAGTTGAAACGCCAACAGGGGGGACTCTGGGTTGGCAGCGATTCCTTGGTTGAGGAGCTTGGTACCCTCAGCGTCCAGGCCATTGTTGAAGCAGAATTCAACTGCATCATACCACATCTCAGGCCAGAATTCTAGGGCCATGAGAGCTTGCTTGTATGTGAAGAAGATCCGATTCTTGTACGAAGCTGGGTCTTCATCTTTGAGAACAAGGTTATCTTCTTTCTCCCACTCAATCCACGTCTTCCATAGACTGACTTGATGCATATACTCGGCATGACCCTCGAAGCCAGGCGCGGGTGGAAGTTGCGGCCTCGAAGTCCTCTTTAGGCCCTTTGTCAAGTTCTGCAGCTGGGTAAATGCCGTTCTGGCAGTCATATAGATTGGTGACTTCTCTTGAAGGTATTTTCGACCCTGGAAATGTATCAGCATAGGGTCCAAGCCATGCGGTGTAGTTTCGAACCCACATTGATCTTGTTCAGCCCTGTCTCAAACGCATCATATTCTTTCCAAAGCGGCATGGTTGCTGCGGTTGGCACCGCAATAGCTTTCTGGTATGCCTCTCGCAGAGCGTCGACTTTTGCCCCATCTTGCCAGCCGCTCCCGCCAACAGTTCCGGGACCAGTCTTGAGGAAGTTGATATAGTCTTGCCATAATTGGCCTGAGTCCTTGTCCATGCCGATCGTCTTGAGAGCAAAGGTGAAGGAGTCGTTGATGATGGTGTACGAGCGATTGATGTCACCCGTTTGCATGCTGTTCCGCCGGCGGATGTAGTTGATGTACAGAGACCAGAGTTGCACATCAAGCACATCAAGCAAGGAACGATTGAAGAGGGTTTCCATAGCCCGCATTCGATCCTGCTCCTCTTCCCATTTCACGTATGCACACCATTGTTCGGCCTGGAGTTCATTAGTGCACTGCAACAGATACGACAGAGGACAAGCACGTACGGCCAGAGGAAAGACTTTGAGATATTGCTCGTACACCCGACGGACATCTTCTTGCTTGTTTCGACTCTTCAATTCGTCGATTAGTTCAAGATATGCATCAATGTCACCACGAGGGTCATCCTTGATGCGATCTTCCAGGATACCAACCACATCATGAGCTAGTCGCGACTTGGGTAAGCCTGGAGCAACAGAGGCATTCACATGCGAGCGAGGTGGAGAATTCTGAGTCGGATGATCAGGAGCAGTGTGAGAAGGTGTGGCAGTGGCAGCACGCACATCAGCACTGGCACCAGAAGGAAGAGTAGTGGAAGAAGAAAGGTCAGCGTCAGCAGGACTACCAGTGGCCTGGACAGGAACAGGAGTGATTCCATTTTCTTGTTCTGGTGACTGGGAAGCTCTATTAAGGGGAGTGGAGTCTTGATTTGCAAGGAGAGGAGCAGGTGTAGAGACATCGAAGTCTAGCCCCACGGATGGATCGTAGACATCAACCTCATCCTTTCCGTCTTGTGTCCCTTCCTCATCTTCAGGATCATCATCAACTTCAAAACCACCCCTTATGCGGGGCTTGGACTGCGCAAGAGTGGGTGTAGAAGACTGGATCATGGCTGGGGTGGCCGCTTGAGAAGAGAGCTGGCTGACTGGTTTTGTAGGAAGAGGATGAAGAGAGGACTGAGTCGGAGATAATGTTTGATCACGTTGATTACTGACAGAACTCTGCTCTGAGGGAGAAAATGGATGCGACAACTGCGCAGCACTTGCGCTTGGCTGATCGGGGGCAGCCACAGTACCGTTGAAGTAAGATGACAGCGCCGCCGTTCCAGAAGATGGCGACGGCAGCCCTGTATCTGGATTCGCCATACCGTCCTGCCTACTCTCTGTAACCGGTGGAAGGGAGTGATATTAGGAGATGGGAAGTTTCTGTGGAGGTCTCAGTGTTGATCGTCTGCTGGAGCACCAGAAGAGCGCACTCACCTTTTGCGCAACAGTAACTAGGACAGCCTTTCAGAACCGACCATTATCGTTGTTGCCGTCTTGAAGGACTGTTAAGTGATGGGTACAAGATCGGAGGATGTTTTCTTCGATGGAATCTGGTTCACTTCACACAATTTCGAGTGTCACTGCCAGTGGCACAGCCTGTGAGTCTGTGAGTCTGTGATGGCGCATGCCTTGAGGTTGGAATTCGTCATTTGAAATTGCGGCGAAGAATTTAGCGGCCTCGGCTAACTTTCCTCCGGCTAACTTGCCCTTGATTGTGATTGCGGGCAGTCTGCGGAATCAGAAGCCAGCGACGCGACTTTCAAACGCGGCGATGGCTCTCTCGCGACCTTGGATCCAGTTCTCGCAAACACTCCTTCCACAGTCCCTTCAAACGGTCACAGTTTCTAGACTTCTGTTCCAGAACATCATCCGAACGTCCAGTCGGACGCTGAGATTAACGCGCAATCGACGACTTCTGTCGCGCTTGTCGCAACCATGTCGGTGGTTTCTCTGCTGGGCGTCAAGGTCCTGAATAATCCTGCGCCATTCACGTCACCCTACGAGTTTGAGATCACATTCGAATGTCTTGAACAACTCCGAGAAGGTAAACATGTGGCGGGACGCTCTTTTCTGCTTTGCAGATAGGCTGACTACTCTCTGGTAGATCTAGAATGGAAACTCACCTATGTGGGCTCTGCCACATCGGCAGAACACGATCAAGAGCTTGACTCTCTGCTCGTCGGGCCCATCCCTATCGGTGTCAACAAATTCATCTTCGAAGCCGATCCTCCCAACCTCTCCCGTTTGCCACCATCAGAAATTCTCGGCGTAACGGTGATTCTCCTTACGTGCTCCTACGACGGAAGAGAGTTTGTGCGCGTCGGTTACTATGTCAATAATGAGTACGACGACGAGACATTGAGTGCCGACCCGCCTGCCAAGCCTGTCATTGAAAAAATTCGCCGTAATGTGCTCGCGGAGAAACCCCGAGTTACCAGGTTCGCCATCAAGTGGTAAGCAACACATCTGTTTCTGTTAGCTGCTTTGTAGCTGATGTAACTCTGCCGATAGGGATTCCGAAGAGTCAGCCCCGGCCGAATATCCTCCCGATCAGCCTGAAGCCGACACGCTCGATGACGACGGAACCGCATATGGCGCAGAAGAAGCGGAGATGCAAGCAGCGCTGGAGAAAGAATTGGAGGAGACCGAAGCGAAGATGGCGCGAGAAGAGTCTACCAATGGAGATCAAGAAATGACGGACACCCACAAAGTCAAAGACGAGGAAGAAGAGGGTAGCGATGCCGAAAGTGAGGATCTCGAGGAGGAGAGCAGTGAGAGCGAGGACGACGAAGAAGATGAGGAGGGTGCAGAAGGCGAGGATACAGAGATGGCAGAGGGTGATGAGAAGTCTACCGCTGCTCCCAGTGCGGCTTCTGCGGAAGCGACCGGCGAGAAGAAAGGGACACAGACCAAGCAGGAGGTCATGGTTCATTAGAGCAACGTGGGAACACATAACGTTTGCACAGGTTTCGAGTCCGACAGCAAGGCGTTCGGTGTATGGCTTGGGCGGTTATTCATGTGAAGACGAGCGACAACATGCATGCATATTAGATGAGACGAAGAGCATGAACTGATCAAGGAAGAACATTATTTCGACCAGGGGGTCGCGGACAGCATTGTCCCAGCATGGTGGTGTTGACATATGCTTGCGCTGGTGGTACATATCAAACAGAGGTCGGGCTAGTCGCTGGAAGAATTATGTTGACCCAATTAACTCCTCTGCTGTCCTTGATCTCGGAAAACAAAGTCCATAAAACCTGGCTGGACAAGGAGACAAGTCCACGACTCTTCTCGTCCTTGTCGTCTCTCATCCAGACAGCCGTTGACAGTGCCCGAACCTTTCAATATGCGACAGGAGGCCCCGGGAGGCGAAAGACGACGTCTAGTAGTAGCCTTTGCTTCTGGCATCAGTTTTCCGTCCTGAAAGTTCGACAGACTGACAATCCTCGGCGTACCACCCGTCGTATTTCTCTTCGCACAGGAGTAAAAGACACATACAGGATCGATCGTTCCAAACGTTGTCAAATCGAAGTGATTGGCTATATAAGACATTGTTGCGCAGGGTCATATGTTGCGAAATAGGAGAAATTTGGTAGGTGACCATTTCAGACAGCAGAGTAAACGGCCGTGACATTCCTGCCGCACACCACGCGCTGCTCCATTCTTACTTTCCTCCCATCCGCCTTCAGCCGTACATCATGCATGGGGGTTAGATGCAATCTATGTTCCTCTCTTCGTCCCATCTCTGCCTCGCTGGCCATGTCTAATGGCCGTATGTACGTCGGAATCGGCACGTTGTTCCGCTTGCCCGTGCCTAGCTGGTAGAATTCGTTGCCTCCCCACCAGAGCACGTCGGAGCCCCAGTTTGTATCGTCCTCCGAGGACTTTTCCGAAGCATCCAGGTAGGTCACATTGTCGAGCACCGCCGAGGCGTGAGTGCTGCCGACGGAAATCTGCGACATCCGGATCGGAATCACTTTTCGGGTCTGTTCGTCGTACTCGAAGAGGCCCGACAAGGATGGGATGCGTGTAGGTGTGCCTTGGATATGGGTCCATTTCCCATTTCCTAGAGTGCCCCTAATTCCCAGGCCGCACGCCCATGTATCGGCGTTGACCTTTCCCAAAGTTGAGAGTGACCTCGGATCTTCATCCGGGCTTGCAATCCGGGTGGCATCAACGGTGAAAAAGCTGTTTGAACCGCCAGCGGCGATGGATGTGACTTTGGAGGATTGATTCGTGCCTTGATAAAGACGAGTGGTAGGCAGGAGAGAAGGCGTGTCAACGAAAGGAGCCTCTGGGTTGAAATCGAAACCAAGCTGGCCGGAAGAGTTGTCGCCAAAGGCAAAGACGCGGCCTTCTTTGTCGAGCACAAGGGAGTGGTGATCCCCGGAAGCAAGTTTAGTGATCTCGAAGCCCTTGAGCGTAGTTAGTTCGTGGCACATATCATATCGGCCGTCAGGACGAGTGAGCCATGTCATTCCCGGGACGCCCAGTTGTCCACGACTGGGAAAGTCCTCGGTTCCTGAGGCGGCAGAGAAGACTCGTCCCGAGTTTGTGAGCAACAGGACGTGCTCAAGGCCACCGCTGATGGCAATCACCCGTTCTCCTCTCCGCAAATCCTTGGGCTCGAGCTTTCTATAGCTAACTGACGACGTTGAGCTCCTCCAGAAGGGGATCCACGACTTGTCTGTTTCCTTGTGTCCACTTTCCTGGTCGGCCTTGGAGACCGGTATCGAATATACGGTTCCATTCTTGCCCAGCCCAATGATACGATCTCTCGATATCGCAATGGACGTCAAATTCTTGCCTTTTAACGTGACTGTCGGCTGCCGTACATCCTCCGAATATTCGATACCCCATTGCACCAAGTCTCCATTTTCAAGGACTGCAGCACCAAAATTCCTGTCGAGCTTAAGATCTCGGAGCAGGATATCGTCGAACCAGGTCAATCTTCGCGGCGTCTTGATATATGTTTCATTTGACTCGGGGGCCACGACTCGACCGGTATTTGATCCCCACGCATACACGCCGGGGTTCTCCCAGCTCTTCTTCACTTGGAGATGCTGGGAGCTGATTAGATCCCTATTCTCTTCCTTGGAAGCGCCCTTTCTCTTTTTGGATGTTTCAATCACGACCTCTTGTGAATCTGAAGGAGGAGCTTCTGCCTGCACAGCGTGGAACTGGGTGGTTGTGTAGACTATGGCAACGGTGGCTGCAGCAGCAATTACAGCGGCCGACGGTCTCTTCCATGCTTGATGAGTTGCAGCATAGTGTGAGGTCTTGTGGGAGAAGTGTCTCGACTTGGAGAACGGTGCACGAGATCTCAATTGTAGGAAAGTGACCTGTTGCGGACGAGCAAGGGTGCGAACGGCGGTGGCGGGCAGAGTCCTCGAGGGCATGGTTGCTTCGATACTGGCGAGTATGCGTACGCTATAGCTCACATTACTGGAGAAGAAGTCGTTCTGCCGTAAACATGTAGATTGTCAGAGCGCACTTGATAGAGAGCATTGCTCGTATTCGGAAATCATGTGCGTCATTGAACCACGGCCACAGCCTCGTCAATTCGCGTGGAACAATATTGGTGGCTTTCGTTCAGCCTTGCGTTATGTACTCTCCGCCCGCACTTCGAATGCCTGTTGATGTTGTACCTATTCAATGGTCCACAGGCAATGAGAAGCCCACCATTATGCCCTCATGGCAAGTCTCGTGAGACACGTCTAAGGAATCAGCACTTCTTCAGCAGCTAGCTCACAGCCATGGCTTCGGAAGGAGGAGAAAAGCTGAAGAGCGAGGAAGATGCCACTCTAGCACAACTCGAAAGCGCAGAAACAGAACTCGAGCTATTCAAGTTATCTGGGGACATAGACCATGTCCTGCTGGACGCCAGTCTCGATGAATACCAGTGTGTCCCGACCTTCCCCTCAGACTGAGTTATCCTCACTGACCATCGGGACAGGCAGTATCTCGACCAACTCGACGCCGCCAGCGCTCACCTCGATACCCTCGTCTCCTCCACCGCCGCAACACTCGACGAACTTTCTTCCATCTCCGCATCCTTCAAGTCTGTCAGCGCTCAAACAAAGTCCTTTCAGGCCCAGTCGGCCTCTATCCTAGAAGAGCAGCACAAGAGCGAAGTCGTCGCGCAACAGATCGCCGAGAATCTGCGGTACTATGAGCCGCTCGAACGAATTACCCGTCGACTCAATGCGCCGCACGCAGGTAGTTTCGTCGGCACCAAGGACTTTTCTGACATGCTGGTGACCCTGGACGAATGCATAGACTACATGCAGACACACCCATCCCACAAGGAAGCGGAAACATATAGGTCCCGGTACAGGCTCTTGCTTACTCGAGCATTGACGCTGGTGCGCAATACATTTTTGACGGCGGTGCGGGAGATCACAACTGAAGTTGCCGGTCGCATTGCAGCAAAGCAGCTCAACGATACAACCATGTTCGCACTTCTCTATGCAAAATTCCGGGTGGGGGCGGCCGAAATGAAGGAGGTCGGTTTGGAGATTCAGAAGCGTGCCAACCCACCAGCGGACGCAGAGCCAGGGATAGAAGGGGAATACCAAAGCCTAATGAACGAGTTGCACTCCAGCTTTGCCGCCTGTCGAGGGAGACTGATCCTGCCCATCGTGCAGAAGCGCCTTGCGGAGACGGCTCAGCTGCCCAGTTCCAAGGACTTGGTACAATTCGCAAGGGCCAGTATCGGCTACATTCGGGGTATATGTCTTGACGAGTTCGAGCTGTGGTCGGAGTGGTTCCATGGCTATCGAGGACTTTACGACTTCCTCGAGTCCATTTGCGAACCACTGTACGACCACCTTCGGCCTCGGATCATTCATGAGAACAAGCTCTCTAAGCTTTGCTCTCTCGTCACATTGCTCCAGACACGCTATCTTCACGATGAGGAAGAAGACGGCCCTACAGACCTGAATCAACTCGACTTCTCTGCGCTCATCCAACCGGCACTGGAAGACGCACAAACTCGCCTTGTCTTCCGCGCGCTCGCGATTCTCCGCGAAGAAATCGAAATGTTCAGACCCAAGCCCGAAGACCTGGACTATCCCCGACTCACCTCCGCTCCGCCCATGTCGGCCACCGCTCCGCTTTCGGGACGCCGCTCCTCCCGCGACGCTTTGACACCCCTGCCCAAAACCCCCACCACCAACGATCTCGACGATGATTCTGGCGAAGAAAGTTCCTTCACATGGACACTGGCCTCGTCGCGCCGGTCCGCTCTCAAACACTGCTATCCCACCCTCTCAAGATCCCTTCGCCTCCTATCTCGCATCTACCGCCTGGTTAACTCGTCAGTGTTTGACGACTTGGCGCACCAAATTGTGCACCAGACCACCCTATCTCTCGTGACCGCGTCTCAGCAAATATCCGCAAAATCCTCGCCAGTCGATGGACGACTTTTCCTCCTCAAACACCTGCTCCTTTTGAAATCCCAGATAGTGGCGTTCGACATCGAATACGTCACCCCGGACGTGAGCTTTGACTTTTCAGGCGTAGCATCCACATTCTGGGAGATCCGCGAACGAGGTGGCCTCTTCAACCCCGCAAGTTGGATGAAACTGTTCAGCTCTGGCGGACTGTTGCCTCGAGTGGTGGAAAACATGCTGGACGCAAAAGTCGAACTTGACGGCCAGTTGAGGACAGCGATCAACGAGTTCACGGCAGGGTTCGCAGCGGATATGTGCAAAGATCTTCCCAAGGATTTGGAAAAGACGGGTGGGCCCAGAAAAGGTGGTGACCGGGAGAGCATATTGGCCGAAGCGGTGGAGAAGACTCGAATAAGGATTGAGAAGGAGATTCCCATTCTGAGAGCTAAATTGGAACAGTATCTGGATGACCATCGCACGAGAGAAACCTTGGTCGCCGCGGTGGAGGACCAGGTCGTGCAGATCTACGAGGCTTTCTTCGACGCATACACCTCCCAACAATCCGCTGGGAAAGCTGGCACGCGGAACGGGAAGGTCAATGGCGCAGCAGCGGCGACGGTGACCACGCCCATCTCACGCAAAGGAAAGAGCCCAGAGAATGCAGTGTGGGATCTCGACACATTTGCTGAATGGGCCGAAGGGCTGTTTAATGTCGCGTTGCCCAATGTCGAAGACGAGGATGAGGATGGGGATGGGGACGGCAGTCATCTCGCTTCGAGGAGTTTTTCGAGGAGTGGCAGTCTTTAGATACAGCAATTTCTCGCTGTCCAGATACCAGATACCCTCGTATCACCGACCATGTCGAGGCTCAACCTGGTTCTGCCATGTGAACCATGGACATACTGGGCTGCTGTATGTAGGGTTTTTGTGATGACGGCCACGGGCCTGATTGATATCTGACGAAATCAAACTTGAACCATGATCAAGTCCCGCAGGGTCGTCGCCCGAGGTTGACTTTGCCCCTGCCGCGTCCCGTCTGGAGTTTCTGAGCCCGTTCGACCCAACATCTCGCCGCCGCAGCGATGCCTCCTGAGACGGCGCATTCGCGGTCCAATAGGGCCTGGATCGTCTTCTGCAGAGGACTCGCTTCAGCTTCGTCCCTTGCACCTGTGACCGCACGGTCTGCGTGGTTCACACTTCCATCTGTTGTGGGATGCGCCGCTGCGTACGTAGTAGCACCATCAGCACCAGCGGTAGCAGGTGGAGGATGAGCAGTGGAAGCTGTATGTCTATTCCCCACGATCCCGATGTTCCGCGTGCTCGGGATCCGCATGAGTGTCAATTCGACGTCGGCTCCGATCTCCTGTGCCAGCGAGACGACCTTCTTGGTCAAACAGGCATACATGGATGTGTCGTCGGTGTGGTTCGCTGCTTTGGCCTTGGCAGCTCGAAGAGCTCTGAGGTCGCCGCTGGCGGGTTGCTCCCCTCTATTGTTGTACCTGTTGTTGTCACTGCTGCTATTAGCGTCCGTAGGCACGGATGACGATGATGCGATCATGGCTTCTTTCGGTGTGTAGCGGTGTCTGGCACCACTCAGGGCATGTGAACAGCATGGAATAGCCAAGAAGGGCAACGGTGCGTCTGGAGATGATAGAGTGGCGAGAATCGGCGTCCACGGCGTGAGTTCGTCGGCGTGGTTGGAGATGATGAAGGTTCCCGGCTCGAATATCCCGTTGTGAACCCTTGAGCCTCCTCCTGCTTGTTGTTGTTGCAGCCCGTTGATCTCCTCGGCGGGAATATGGTCCAGGAACGGCTGCGGAATGCATACCATCTCATCCACATAGTTGTCCAGCTCGAGAACGTTCCATGTCGTCCGTCTGCGGGCGTCGAAGCCACGGCCCCGGTACCCTTCCTTGACAAGCACGTAGGTCAAAACGCCATTTCCGCATGCAATGTCCACAAAGCCCGGGAACGTGTTTGGGAGTGGGTACATCTGCTTCCAGAGCTCCATAACAAAAGCGGCAATGGCGAGGTCTTCGAACACGTGCTTTGCTGGTTCGGTCTTCTCGGCCCAGCGGGATATGAGGTCTTGGGCGTACCGCTGTTTCAGCCGTGTGTAGGTGTTTTGGACTGTGTGCTGTGGGAGGATCGTGTCTTTCAGGGCTGAAGGAGCCAGGGACAAGCTAGTGGTCAAGGCATCTCCCTTGGCCATCCCATGGTTTTCTTTTTCTGTGATGGTTCTTTCTGGTGCAGGGTCGTTCTTTGCAAGCCTGAGGAATGTTTGAAGCAGTGAAATGAATGTTCGATGTGTCCGGGCTGGTAACGGGTCAGGAGAGGTTGGGAAAGGAAGGAAGTGAACAGAAAGTGTTGTCTCGGTGCCCTTGTCCTCGTGGAGATATGCAAGAGACTTGACAATCGGATGATACCACGGCACGTCAGCCTCAGCGTCGACTTGCGGCTGATAAACAACGATATATCCCGAACTCTCATCTACCCCTTCGACGAGGCTGTAGACGTAGCACCACTGATCAAGCGGACGGTCAAGTTGTGGCTTGCGAGGAATGAGTTTCCTCAGGACCTTTCTCTGCAAAACCGCCCCTTCAAAGACTGGTGCCGAAGAGAATGGTTGAACAACATCTTCTGCTTCTTCTTCACCTGCGGGCTTGTCGTCGCTGTGGGCTCCACTGGACCGAAGACAGAATCTCTCCCTTTCCGAGACCGTCTTGAGCCGGTGTGCACTGTCGTACAAGATGTCGGCCCGGAAGAGGTGGGTGGAGTTCAGATTGGGCTTATCCAGCAACAGGTCTGTGACTTGAAGGAACTGCTCCGCCGAAATGCTGCACGTTTGCATATACTCTGGTGCGGTTTTCCATTCCGTGTGAGCTTCTTTCAGCCTGTCGAGGGGCATTATTCTTGCGATGCCCCTGCCACCTGAGGACTGCACATAGGTAGACAGATCATTCGAGTCGTATCTCATGAATCTACCATGATCTAAAGGCACAAGAGGATATTGGTGGTCGTCACATAGAGCAAATGGAATGAAGCCAAGAAACGGGCGCGGAGATGGAGATATGAGTCGCACAAAAAAGAGGTATTCAGTTGGTCTCTTGCAACAATCACCGCTTCCTACAGTTTTTTGATTTCAGAACAAGGGGCAACAAAAATGGAAAGATCAAAAAGAAACAGAACCACACAGGTTATGAACGCCCTGGGAGAGGCCTGTAATCATTATTAGTACTTTAAATTTAGGCCTGAAGAAGGGATCCCAACGTACTCGAACTCTCAACCTTGAGATATCAAAGCTGCTTAAAAGCCTACTCTAAAAGTCTCACTACATCATAATTAGAATCGAGACACGCCTAAAGACAGAGACAGAGCCTACCGCGCTGACCAATTGTGCCACCAGGGCGCAAAACTTCTGTAAAGTTTGTGTCTTAATTTAAAACCGAATTGTTGGATATTAAAATATAAAATTAAGCTGCGTGGATGGCCCAAACAATTCCCGGGAACCTCGGTATCTAGGGGGACATACACCTCCCACCACCCTGAAAATGGCTTGGCTTCCTTTTCTGTCAGACTCGGACACTATGGAATGGAGAGGTAGCCTCATAAATCCTGAAAATCACGCCTACTATATTGCTGACCGAATATCACCTTCAATATGTCGCCTGCTCCGTTGTGACTCTGGTTGATTTTCTCAGTATCAATCCCCTCCTCACTTTGCACGCGAAGTCGGCTGTTGCTTGTCTGTCTCCTTTTCCTGCCGCTGACGTGCTTGAACCTGTAGCAGAGTCTGCACCATGGTGTTTGTACGCGTACTGTTCCTATCATCTTCCCCAGCCGCTCCTACAAGGCGGATGCGCTCTTCGAGTACATCTGCTTGAAGCCCCCTCTCCAACGCCGCGATGGTGTCTTGTCTTTCTTCGATGACTGGCTCCTTCGGGCACTTCGACTTGATGTTCATGAGGACGTGAGTCAGCAACTCGGGAGTCTCTTCCGCAATGCTACTCCTCGATGCGTCAGCAAACGACCTCACTGGCGGAATTCAGGGAAACGTACTCTTCCACTTCGAGCTCAGGGGCCAGAAACCGCACAATTCCCCAGCTTGTCGGCTCCGTCACCAGCTGCACAAATCGGTCCGCCGCTTCCAGTTCGGCCTGGTGCCTAGCTGTGTCCCATGGTTCAACACTTTCAGGCTCCGATTTGAGATATTGGAGGTAGTCGATGGTCACCCATGTCAGCTGATTTGCCGCTTCAGGAATGTGCATGTCGTTGATGTTGCCCAACAGCGCGGTGATTCGGGAGCGGTCAAAGTTCGACGAGGCCATCGGGACGAATGGGACAAATGAAGAATCAGCTGAAGCAAGAGGCACACTGCAAAACCTGGGCAAGGAGGAGGACCAAAACTCACGGCACTTTTCACTCCCCATCACAGATGCCAAAGTTACACAAGGAGTATCTGCCCATGCAACGAGCCGTTGCCAGCATCAGGACGGGCTCAGCTGTATTGATCGGCCTCCGTTGACCCAGGGATCTTACCCTCTGGGTGGCTTCCAGTCAATGCCAATCCAGGAAATGTATACCCGACGTCAATTTCGCCGCACGCGAGAGGTAACTAGGGCCTCGGTTTGTCACAGCAAGAAACAGGACGATGCAGGACATTGTTGGTCAGCAGCTGACAGTGTGTGCTCTAGTCGTCTTCAGCGTCCTGTCCACCGTCGTCCTCGCGGGAAATTTCATCAACCTCGCGGTCTCCTCTGGGTTCCTCTTCGCACTCCTCCTCGCGATCCTTTTCCGGCTCAGCTGATTGGTATCCATAAGCATGGCCCATACTGACAGCCTCGACGCCAGCTTGCGTGAGCTCATTCATCAGTGTCTCGAAAGTCAAGACCCTCTCCGCTCCATTTCCGCAGCCTGTCCGGTGCCATTCTTGAAGCCGACCAACGATCTCATCGCCCCGTTCGACACGGAACCGATCTAGACTCTTCAAGCTATTATTCAGAATTCTGAAATGGCAACCCGTCGGCAGACTCCTATCCCATCGAGCAGAGAACTCCGGCTGCTGGTGACACATTGCCCTCATATCCTTTGTGAGCCCCACGTACGCGTAATTCTGGATATAGATGGTAATGTTTCGGGGCATGTTCTCTATGAACTTCTATTTTTTTGCGCGAGCTTTGATAGGCTGGTTTTGGTGGGGCGAATCACCTTCCACTCCACATCACTTCCATGTTAAGTTGGATATTACGCCCTTACTTGTCCTATTGTCGCCGCTCGAGGGTTATGATATGATACATTGGTAGAAGGCCTGCAAAGACTGTCTGATACGAAAAAGCACGTGGCGGCCAGAAATTGCATTGTGCGTAAAACCACGCCTCCGAGAGCAGTGTAAGTATAGGTAGGTACTGAGAAAGACAACCAGTAAAAGGGTAATATGTGCACTCGCTTTCCCACACAACAGTCCATTCCGTGAGCCTATAGCTTGGCTTTGGTGGTCCCCTGCTGTTTCTTCCTCTCCTCAAACCACTCCTTGACTTTCTGCCTCGCCACCTCGACAACCTCCTTGTCCTCCACCGTGGCCGGAACATTGACCTCCTTATCATATTGTCCCTCGGCGGCATTCTCCACCAGTTCTCTCAATACCCGTCGCAGAGTCTTTCCGCTCCTTGTCTTGGGAATCATCCCTTTACCTTGGATGATACCACCCAGTGAGGCGATAGCGCCAATCTGATGGCGCACGATGTTGTTGATCCCCGTAAAGAATTCCTTAGACGGTGTGGCGGGAAGGTCGGAGGGAGTGGCGGCAGAAGGGATGACAAAGGCAAACGGCAAGTGCCCCTTCATGGCGTCGGGAACGCCGACAACGCATGCTTCGGCGACGGAGGAATGGGATGTAATGGCCTGTTCGATCGCGCCTGTTCGCCAAAATGGTCAGTTCTCAGTCCAAGTGAACAGGGGTGGAATCATACCAGTGCTAAAACGATGGGCAGCCACATTGATGATATCGTCGCTTCTCGACATGACATGCAAATAGCCATCCTGATCAATCATTCCAGCGTCCCCAGTGTCCAACCACTTCCCGTTGAATCGTTTCAAGTAGCCCTTGTAAAATCTTTCGTCATCACTGAATAGCGTGGTAAACCCGGTGGGAGCCAAGGGCATGGCGAGCACAATATTTCCCATCTTGCCTTGTTCGACTTCATTTCCCTCGTCGTCGACTATGCGCACGTCGAATCCAGGCATCGGTTTACCGGCACTGCCAGGCTTGACAGCCAACGCCTTGTGCTCCTCGCGACTGTTGGGGTCATGCCCGATAGCAGGACGTAAGGCAAGGCCGGTCATGGGACTCCCACTCTCACTGGACCACCAATGGTCAATCACTCTCGCATCTGGAGCAGCGTATTTGCTCAGCAGCTCCTGATAATGTGTGATGATGGCGGGTTCTGATCTCTCCCCTGCCAGGAACAGTGCGCGCCAATGCCTAAGCCGGCCCTTCTCGCCGAGTTGTTTGAAGAACTTGTCCTCGGGGTCTTCTTTCCGAATAGCTCTGAGTGCAGTTGGAGCAGTGAACAGTGTCGTGACTTTGTGTTCGTCGACCATCCGCCAAAACGCGCCCGCGTCAGGTGTCCCGATGGGTTTGCCTTCGTAGAGGACTGTGGTTGCCCCGGCTAGGAGAGGCGCATAGACAATGTATGAATGTCCGACCACCCACCCGATATCGCTCCCGGTGAAGATGATGTCGCCAGGTCCCTTGACGTCGAAGAGGTATTTGATGCTGAAATTGAGGCCAACTGCATGACCGCCAGCTTCGCGGAGAACCCCCTTGGGCAGACCGGTCGTGCCGCTGGTATAGATAATGTATAGACCGTCTGTGCTCTTGACCGGGACCGCCTCGGCTCTGACGCCTCTGTTCCGGGCACTCTTGACGAGACGCTGCCAGTTCCGTTGCCCTGCATCTTTCCTCACAGGGTCCCACCTCTTGATTTCGCGCTCCCAGATGATGGTTTTGCTAGGCTTCCAGTTGCTTTGCTCAATGGCGCCTTCAACGAACGGCCGGTACTCCAGAGGCCCCTTGGCTCCTTCGATGGCGCAGCTGGCAGTCAAAATGACCTTGGGTTTTGCCGCGTCGATTCTCTGAGCCAGACTGGCAGCAGCAAATCCTCCAAAGACCACTGCATGCATGGCACCCAGGCGGACGGCGGCAAGCATTCCAAAGATGGCAGCTGGTATCATGGGCATGTAGACCAGCACAACGTCCCCCTTCTTGACACCTTCTTCTCTGAGAACACCGGCCAGAACCTCCACCTCGTCCAACATCTGACTGTATGTGTACTTCTCTTTCGATCCGCTCACGGGACTGTCCCAGATCATGGCGATCTTGTCCCCATTGCCGGCTTTGACATGGCGGTCTATGCAATTGTATGTGGTGCTAATCTCGCCGTCTGGGAACCACGACCAGTGTGGATGCGTGACCCCGTCCTTCAATTTCTTGGGCTGCTTGCGCAGGACAGCGCTGTATGGTTTGTGCCAATACAGTTCCTTTGCATGCTTGTCCCAGAACCGCTCCGGGTCAGATATCGAAGCATTCTGCACCGAATCCTGGACCGTGTTGTGTGGTGCCATGATGAGAGAATAAGTGTATGACAGATTGCCCTCCGAAAGACTGAGGAGCGACAAAGTAGAGGCACAGATGTGGTATGGGCCAGATGTAGAGAAGGCAGCTATATGTTTCGGACAGCAGGGAGCCTCGAGGCCAAGGGAAGAATTAATTTAGAGCGCGATGACGGCAACCTTTTGGACGTCCATGAACGGAGGATGGACGATCGACCGAATCACCAGCAATGCGAGGGGTGCCTGGTATTCTCTCCGAGTCTGAATCTGTATCAATGGCCTATCCAGATGATGTTTAGCTTTCAGGCAACTTACATAAATGCAGCTTCCTGCAGCACAGGAGAGAAGAAGCGAGCAAGCTCCGAAAGCATCTCAAGGAGAGAAACTTGGTCGCTGGATACGGCGAAAGGTGTCGGCCCAGCGGAGTTGGAGTTGGTTTGGGGAAGCGACATCATTCGATCGTCGCCCGACTTTGTGGGGGTGGATGCAGGCCGGGGAGACGCGTTACAGGGAAGGACTAATGGTGCCTGGGAGGACCGAGGCTGGGATCGTCTCTACTGGTAGCAGAAATGGGAGTGGATGGAATGTTGATGCAAGGGCAATTAATCAGCCCCGAGACAAGACCGAGAGATGCCCATCTGGGAAATACTGAGAACCCAACATAATACCCTACCGACTACATCCGTTTCACCAAGCGAATTCGGCATTCATACGGGCCAGCGTCTATGGACACCAGCAGGATGGCCGCCGGGCCGCCTGCATTGCTGGGATCATTGTCGATGCTCCTGGCTCCCAGCCTTAAGATCCAAGACCAACAGACCCAAGCACCAATCACCGATATATCTTTGCGAGGCACGAAGCACTTCAAACACCATGCTATCCAGAAAACTTGCATTCATTAAATGACCAGCACCCAGGGTGAGGGGTGGGATTTCTCATTGTACCTTCTAACTGTACAAGGTGCCCATCACACCACTCCAACGACTAGCTGAGAAATGTCTATGTCCAATGCGCCGGCTGCTAGTATACACGTCCTTGCCCAAACTTGTCGTGACCACTGGATCTTCATGCCGTGTCGTGCATACCGCAGCCGAGCCAGCTAGTCGCTGCTCCTTGCCCGAGTCTCAGCGCTAAGAAGTTAAACCGCAAAGCCATGACCGTAGAACTGACGACAGAATCCCCATCGAGCCAAAGAGGTCAATTTGTCGGGAAAAAGCCCATCGACAACTCCGAGTCATGACCCCAAACACTCTCCAGCTTACAGGAGGAAAGCAGCAATGGCACCGACACCAGCAAGACCAGCGCCGACGTTGGCAACGAGGGCGTTGGCGGCACCAGTGTAGGTGGCCACAGCCGGGGCGACGCTGGATGGCGCATAGGAAGACCAGGCGGCGCTGGTGGTGCTAGCAGCGGCAACGGGGGTCCAGGTGGTGCTGGCGGCAGCGACCGAGGCCGAAGACCAGTCACTCCAGGTGCCGGTGGACACGGCGGCGACGGAACTGCTTGTATCAGCCTGGAGAATTTGCGAGTCAGCTTAGGTTCAATCTTTACCTGCAGGAGGTGGAGGTCTTGGTGTAGACAGGGACAGAAATGGTGCACGGGCAATCAGTGATGGTCAGGGTAGTGGCAGAAGTGACTTCGTAGGTCTTGCCAGCGTGGGTGAATTTGGTGGCATATGGGCAGTAGGTCGTGATGGCACCTACAACGGTCGTGGTATAGGAAACAGGGGTCGCGCTGGAGGTCCAGTCAGCCCAGGTGTGGGTACTCTCAGCAGCGACAGGCTTGGTCGTGGTGGTGGTCTTCACGGTGGTGGTCGAGGTGGTCCAATCCTCCCAGCTGTGGGTGGTGGTGCCAGCGACAGGAACCTTGGTGGTGGTCGTGGTCGTGGTCGTGGTGCTAGAGCTGGACCAGTCGGCCCAGGTGCTGGCGACACCAGCCGAGGCGCTGGAAGCAAGGGCTGCAACAGCGATGATGGATGCGGTGACCTTCATTTTGATTGAGTGGTAGTTTCTGGATTAGAAAACTAAGGTATTGGAATTCGTTGGATAGTTTTTGGTTTGTTCGTTGAAAACGAGTGTGGGTGGCGCAAAGACCGGCTTTCGAGCTGCTAACGAGCGACTGTAAGTTGGAGTTTTGATCGTAGGATGGAGGAAAGAAAGAGAAGACCTGAGTGCGAAAAAGGTTCTCATATATGGGAGAGGGAGGCCCATGAGGGCGAACAAAAGGGAAATTAGGGTATCATTTTAGCGTCGATGTTGACCATGGCGATGATTGAGTGGACGACGACAGTGGATTGGGGGTGGAAGGATGTATTCTCGCGGCGTCAGGGGTAGCGGCGGGTCTTGTCCGGCCTTGTCTTTGCTTGTTGTATAGCGAAACCCACATAGCGGCTTTTAGATCAGCCTCATCAAGCCTTCCGTCGGCGCCATTGGCTCTGGCCCAACTTCATCCGAGATTGTGGCGGCGAAAAGTGGTGACCTCCTCCACCAAGCTTGGACATGTCTCGTGGAAAGCTGACGCTGCTCCCACAATAACAACTTGGCCGTGCAGCAGCACAATCGTATCTGCTGGCTAGTACTATGTCATACTCGATGTTGTTTGTCCAACCGCAGATCATAAACTGACAGGGCCAAGAAATAATAATGGAAGACGATATGTTGGACAACGGTAGAGGTCGTAATGGGGAATTCGAGAGATCCAACTGCTCGGGTGACCTACATCGTCACACGACAAATTCTGCTTTGTTGTCGCTTGTGTGTTTGCTTACCAGGGTTCATTATTGGGAGGGACCGGCTTGGAAAGCAGCTGTTCTCGCGTAATTTCTCGCCTTTGTCCCAGCCGAGATGCTTTCGCCCACGACAGTCCGTGTTGAGCATGTCCGCCAGTACCAGTCCTTGTCAATATTGTTTGGTGCTGAGATCGCATCATCGATTCACCAGCCAACGGGCCACAACATCGAGGTCCATAGTTGCAGGAGGTAGATCCGTGCCGCCGCGCACCGTGAACGATTTGATTGCTGGCTCGCTTAGGTCTGGCTTAGTTCACCGCCGCCGGTTGCAACGTCCGTGATTCTCTGTTGCCACACGCACCCCAGAGAAGCGTAGCCGGGCGAGATTGGGAGCAGTAAACAAATGAGCATCAGCAAGTTGACCTCGGAGGTTTGACGCACTTTCCAAGCACCCCAGTTGAAGCGCCGAGCGGAGAGTTGAAAGTGGCCTCGGTGGCTCCATTGACGCTGATCTGGCGCATTTCGGAAATGAAGTGCCAAGATTGCCATCAGGGGATGCAGCCAATCAGCACGCTTTGCAGGTAGCAAGCCTTGTCGACTGTTTTGCTGCCGGTGCTTCATCCTCATCCCATCCTCAACTCATCCTCGCCAAACACCGTCTCTCGCCCGTCATCCCCCATGTCTCGACCTCCTCCCTTGTCCGCACCGCTGCATCACATTTTGATTGGAAGGCAGAACCGCAGAACAAGCACACAACGAACAAAGCGTCCCAACCAATTGCCACTCTAGAATGCGTGCGTAGCGTCTGTAACTCTACGAAGATGATGACTTGCAGCTAGGGTTCCTGCGCAACGGAAGGATCAGATTCGCATAACTCAGATTCAGTCATCTAGATTCTGCTCGTGCTCCGTATCGACTTTTTCCCCAATACTCGGCCATTGTGATGTCCGTCCTGACCCATGGGATAACGCAATGACATCGATAAAGACAAAATTCCAATATTACGAGTACGTTTGTCAATAATCCACGAGGGCACTGAAAATAGCACGCGATCATGCCATGGCCATTATGCAATAGTGGGGACGGAGCTCTTCCAACTTAAACCACAATTACTCTTTGCAGCAATCCCAGTGGCCTGGCCCTTAGAAGCTGCCCAACAAGATGGAGCAAGCCGCTCTACGGAGTCGTTTCCCTTTTGGTCCACCGACCCTAATACTATTATACCTGCGGTCTCCTCCACTAAAGGCACATGCTTAAGAAGGACTTCGGTTGTGTTCGGAGTGCGAAGACGAGTGTTCAGCGCGCAGAGCAGACTGAAAACGGAAGTATCAACAATGGAATTCGAGGCATGGATATACACAAAAGCATCTGCCATGGCGCACGAATTATCGATTCGATGGACGCCAACTCGGTTACGCCACGCCGCGACCCCGACGATCAAACAGGCGGCACAGCAGTCATCGGCCCAGCTTTCCCCCAGTGGGAGGAAACGGCGAGTATCAGAGTCGACGGCGCAACTTCTGGATCTGAGACATGTCAGGGATGCGAGATGAAGAGAAGAGCCTAACAGCCACCGGTCTGTCGGTGAAACGAGCCCACAACGTCCGACTACCTACCTGGCGAGCTGGGTACTCTCAAAACAACCCCTGACACGTGACCCTGGCCTTTGATGAATAATGACCAAGTCGCCCGTCCTGGTGAGACTTGAGTTGTGACCCTTGCATCTTCTGTGGCATTGACCAGACAGCGGACACACGAAGCTCTACTACCACTTCTCAATAACACTCGGAGACATTGTACCACAAAATGATAATGGTCAATAATCGGCACACTGTGTGGAAGCCGCTTCTACTCTCCACTATTGCTGGCGACAATTTCCGTTGCGATAGAAAGTATACTGTCTTGTTGACATGAATTTGTCTTTTTGTAAGGTCTGGAATACTGGCCAAACTGTGCCGCAACCGTCCATTGTTTGGCGGCAGAAGATCGCCATTTACTCGTACATCCACGTATGGGGAAACTGAAAAGGCATGTACTCCACTCACTATTCTGTTATTACCTATTTTTCCCCACGAGCAAACGCCTTTCCAACTTTTGTGATGATATCTCAGCTGAGGAAGTCGGGCGATCTCGAGACTGTCACTCAAATCGTCACCGTCGTCATTCGTTCCACCCTACAGAGTTTCCATCTTAACGAGTCGTCGTATCCTTTTCCTTGACCCACGGCTCTGCGAATGTCCCAACCCAATCTTCCACCTCCTGCCTCAGCGTCAAGATTTCGGCGACCTCGGTCCCGTCCTTCAAATACTCTAGGAAACTCTTGACCGCTCCGGGATTCTTCTTTCCCTTCGCTTCCGCATCCGACCGGGCGCTTTTATCCACCTTGATCGCAATCGACACTGCACGATCGACGATCTCTGCCACGCGAGTAAAATCGCTTGGCTGGAATCCTCTTGTGGTCATGGCAGGCGATCCCATCCTCAACCCTCCAGGCCTCAGGGCAGATTTGTCTCCAGGAACAGTGTTTTTGTTTGCGGCTACGCCGCACAGCTCGAGCACCCGCTCAACGCGGGCACCGTCAATGCCCTTTGACTTCAAGTCGACCAGGACTAAGTGGTTGTCTGTCCCGCCACTGACAATGTTGTAGCCCAGACCACCTGTATATGCAGAATTGCCCAGCCTTTCAGCAAGGGCTTTTGCATTGGACAGCACTGTCTTCTGGTACTCCTTGAACTCTTTCGTTTGGGCTTGCTTCAGTGCAACTGCGAGAGCGGTAATGGTGTGGTTGTGTGGACCGCCCTGGTGACCTGGGAAGACGGATGCGTTGATGGGACCTTCGAGGTCGTACATCTCCTTTTCGCCCTTTTTGTTCGTTCGGCGGACGCCTTTACGGTAGAAGATCATGGCTCCCCGAGGGCCACGGAGAGATTTGTGCGTTGTGGTTGTCACCACGTCCGAGTATTGGAAAGGGCTCGGAATCACGTCTGCGGCGACCAGGCCGGATATGTGAGCCATGTCAGACAACAGGTAGGCACCCGCTTCATCAGCGATCGCTCGCATGCGTTCGTAGTCGATCAGTCGGCTGTACGCAGAAGTTCCAGCGATGATGACCTTGGGCCGATACAAAAGAGCATACTCGTGCATCTTGTCGTAGTCGATCAATCCGGTTGATTCGTCCAGGCGATACGGGAAGGTCTCGAAGTATTTGGAGATCATGGATATCTTCTTGGTGGGAGTCTGGTAGCCGTGAGACAAGTGGCCACCGTGTGGGAGGTCGAGACCCATGATACGGTCGTGTGTGTTTAGAAGAGCCGAGTAGGCGTAAAGGTTTGCGGGAGAGCCGGACAAGGCTGAAGTTTTCAGTTTTTGATATCAACGAAGCTCTATGATAGGTGGTCACTTACGTTGGACATTGACTCCCCATTCTTCTGGACTGAGGCGATATGTCTCCAGAGCGCGCTTCTGACATAGTCTCTCAGACTCGTCAATGTGTTCGTTGCCGCCATAGTATCGTGCTCCCGGATATCCCTCCGAGTACTTATCTGGATGAAGGGTTAGAAGATCAGTCGCTGACGGATCCGTGACGTGGGAGACTCACTTTGCATTACACTGCCCAAGGCATCCAGCACGGCCTGCGAGGTGAAGTTTTCAGAAGGGATGAGATTGATGAAATGTCTCTGGCGACGAATCTCCTGCGAAGAAGACTGTTATTACATGGACACCAGCTGTTTCAGGGTTTCTTACGCGCTGCAGAATCTCGTAGATCTCGGGATCTGCTTCTTTGAGATGCTCACCCAGTAACTGCTGAATGTGTAAGTACGTGGGAAGTTGTACTGGCACTGAAAACGACGTTACCTTGTTTTGAGCCTCGGTCTGGGCAGAGCGCTGTGTTTGCGAAGACGACAACCCTCGGATGGTGGCCCTGCATGAGAGACATATTGACGGTTTGGAGGCCAAGGACGGTGACGACCAGAGCCTCTTTGCGAGCATTGAACGAGCCATGTTTGTACTGGTGAGATATCAACGACCGGGTGCCCTCAGAGCCCAAGCACTGGCAAATGACAATAGCGAAAACCGAAGTGCGGAGAAAAGGATATTATTATCTCAATCAGGTCTTTTACCGTGCGTCAGAATAGACGAAAGGTCCAAAGATCCCGCGCACGGTCAGTTCAAGCTCTTGACAGGTGACAGCTGCCTCGAGTCGGCCCCCTTGATAGAAACAGGTCTCCCAGATGGAGAAGAGGGGGATGCTATGAGTGATGATATAGACTTGGTGGTTGATCAGAGTGGCGCAAGATCAAGGAATGAAGTCCAACCAATGCGGAGGGTTCGCCGGGTTCTACACAAGGAAGGTCGAGCGACGCTCTGAAAATCATTTTCAAGTTCCGCCAAAGCCCCCAGATTCTGCTTTCTGTTTTCCTTTCCTCACAACTAAATCCAAGATGATGAGCATCTATACGTCAGTTGCAGCTCCCGCGCTCTGGCTCTTGGGCCGGAGGTCTGTGGGCGATGCTGACATGTCCTGGGTCCAAGCACCACCTTGAAGGACAATTTGAAACAAAGACTGATTGGACATGTTGTTGATCAGAGCTGACTCCACGTCGCTTCTGCTTTGGCTACTCCTTTGTCTGGTTGTGAATGCATAACGCACTCAATCTGCCTTGGCTGGACTGTCTTACTGCCTTCTGTGGCGTTGTGATGTTTGATGGACCAGAATCGGTTCTGATGTTGTCGTGGACTGGGTAAAGACTTTCTCTGAGCGGTGAGGAGGAGCGCCTTGGATGAGATAGATCTGAAGAAGCGTCTGCAGCGAGCAAAGGGGAGTCTTCTCTCACCAGTTGAGTGTTGATGCTTTCTTCCATGAATACCATTGCGTTTTGCTCGGCACCGTCTTGCCTCCTGGCTTTCGACCCGCGTGATTCCACCCACCGTTTTGCATATCAATGATGGTCTTTTGGTTACTCGCAGGGAGAATGCTCTTCCTCGTCGCGATCAAGCTGTTCTTGCGCGGTCAACAAATCTGTCACTGTCGCCGTCACTGCTAAAGCAGCGGGAGCTGGGTTGTCTCGCGCGGATGCTTCACACCTCGCTGCCGCCCCAGGTTTCGCTGCTTTAGCATTGCATTCGCCAACCACTGCAGTGCACCTTCCCAGGAAGCTGTGTAGACTGCCTCCTGCCTCCTGCCTCCTGCCTGTTGCTCAGCACAGCACATCACGTGCTATACAACTCCTGCTTGGCGGCCGGTGGTTGAGGTGCTGCTTTCCCACAGACACGTTGCGTGAATTTGACCTTCCCACAACATCCTCTTTCATCCTTCTCGTTCTCCATCATCTCCCCCAAACCATCTTCCTATCCTCTTCGAATCGTTCCTGCACAGACAGTCAACCGTTTCGTGCTCACGGCATTTCGTCAGGTATCGTGCTCTCGTAAGACAAGTCCTCCTTTCATTTGGAGGCTGGATTGCTCAGACATAAACAGATTCATTCACCATGCCTCCCACTACCCGCAAGAAAGCTCAGGCTACCAACAAAAACTCTCAAGCCTTGAACCTCGTGACTGCTGAGGATGATCTGGCCATCGGAGACGTCGTGGATCCCAAGCACAAGGACGACAACCTGTTCGAACGCGTCTTTGATCCTCACGGAGGCGTTACTTCCGATGACCATGACTCCGACCATTCTGATTATGGGGCTGACAAAAAGAAACGCAAGAGAAAGACTGGGAGCGATCGGAAAGGCAAGGCCAAACGACGCTTCACACGTCGCCAGCCTCCTCCACCTGCCCTCCCGGATGTCTCAGATGACGAATATGCCTTTGGTGGCAATGTGACCGAGGAGGAAGAGGATGGCGGCCTCTGGTCCGTCGGACGTCACGCCGGTGCAAAGAAGGCTCACGAGGAGAAGGCTCAAGACGGAAAGGCTCATGAGGGAAAGAACGAGCTCCCGCAGGTTCTGTAAGTAACCTCTCACTCAAGGACCCGTCGTCTTGATGTCTCGATCCGACACCTTTGCCCTTCTGACACCCGAAAAGGACTGACAAACGTACCACTAGGAGAGTTGAGGCTAGTAGTGAGGGTGGCGGCAAGACGGTCATCAACCTCAACCTCGCGGATCTCCTGACGAAAGTGGGTTTTCCCTCTTGGACTTTGCCTGCCACACCACGAGCCGAAGCTGCTGAGATCAACCCTGAGTTTTCCGGCGACACCACCATGGTTCAGAACAAGATTGGCTTCCTTGACCTACCACTCGAGCTTCGCTTGAAGACGTACCGATACCTCTTCCGTGAGGACAAAGCCATCGAATTCGATCGCCGCGAATTCTCACGCTCTTCTCACTTTCTCCGGACTTGCAAAACTGTTCTCGAAGAGGGCCGAGAGGTACTCTATGGTGAGAATTCATTTCACTTCAACCGAGAAACCGCCATTCGTGGTAGATACTATGAGAAGGTCTGGAAAGAGGTCGGTTACAAAGACATCAGACGATTCCTTGAGGCCATCGGTCCCGCCAGCGTAAGCCCCCCTTTGGCAGAGTGAATGTCTCGTCCTTCGAGGCGCCGCTCTCATTGATTTGTCAGTTTCTGGCGCAAGCTAACTTACCTTTCCAGATCGCCCACTTCAAGTATCTCTCCTTTGTGCTCACCGATGGCGCAGACAATCGCACGAGAACTTCAACCCAGATTCCGGAGCGAAAGTTCGTTAACGACCCACACTTGCACCAGATCTTCCATCTTATTGGAGCCAACGCCACGTTGAATACGCTCGCAGTCCAGTTTGCTGGCCGTGCCTGGGTTACCCACAACGACTTCCACTTCTTGAAAGCTCTTACTGGGATCAAGTGTCACCATTTCGTCACCATCTACCGCTACAGAGGGCTCACTAACAAGTGCCTCGGCACTCTCAAGGACAAGATGAAGGCAGTTATGCGTCTGAAAGATCCGAATGATGACGGATCCTTCACCTGGGCGGACGTTCGGGATATGGTGCAGATGGTCTATGAGGGCTATACCCCATTTCATCCCGGTATGCTGCATTGGGCGTACGAGTGGTGACTGATCAAGAGCCAGGAAGACACGACATCACACTATTAGTTTGTTGCGTGCCTCCCGTGTTGACCAAGGATGTGTTAAGGGTTGCGCGTGAATGGAATGCTGAGAGGAATCCGGAGTCTTGAGAACAGTACGGCAGCCGGCAAGTTCGACTTTGTGGGTCCGGCACACTTGTTGGAGGGCCCGAAATGAAAGCCATCAGAACAGTCATACTTGGGGAGCTAGGTCAGATCGCACCATCACACAAACTTTCGGATGCGACCTGGAAAGAAACATTGTTGGAGTCAAATGGTGGGCCTGAATTGGGGCGAATGCTCAAATGCGCTTTTTGAGAGGCATGGTGGAAGAAGCAACCAAGACTGGTGACGGAGAGCAGATCAGGTGGCATACGATGAGCAGGAATATTGGCATGGAACGTGGAACGTTGTGCCTGTTCTCCTTCCGGATGGATTGGATCCTTGGGCAATTGAGCCAAGGCATGTACCGTAGCTGAGCATCAAGACGACAGAGCTAGAATAATCAATCATCCAAGAATCAAAGACACGGAGCGTGCACACTTGTAGGAGTTCATATTGTAGGACTGTCATATTCGGGAGCTTGTCACCTTCTATCGGTCGTGTCAAGCACTGCTGCATCCCGTTACTGTCTACGGATGCCTTTCTGCAGCTTTCCAACAAGATAACTTTCCAGGCTGTTATATTCCAACTCAATTGTCTAGCGGCGAAGCTGGGACAGTCCACATTCCACAGTCCGTAGTCCACACCGACATCGACTAATGCTCAATATCGTCCCAACTTCGGCCCTGGACGGCGTTCAACTCGTCGATGGACATGACCTTGCCGGTGGTAAAGTAGCCGGCGTGGATCTTTGCGTCGATCTCGACGCGCGAGTCCTCGGGGATCATGTCGTCGGGGATGGGGACGCGCTCGAGGATGGGGATGCCTTGCTCGACAATGGCGTCGTGCTTCATGTTGGACATGGACAGCATGCGGTCGATCTTTGTGATGCCCAGCCAGTGCAGGATGTCGGGCATGAGTGCCTGGAACCGCATGTCCTTGACGCCCGCAATGTTCTCGGTGCGCTTGAAGTACTCGCTGGCCCGGTCGGCGCCGCGCTTGCGCGCGTTGTACACCAGGTACTTTGTGACCTCGCCCAGCGCGCGACCTTCCTTGCGGAAGTAGATGACGACTCCCGACCCGCCCTTTTGGGCTTCCTTGACGGCCTCCTCGATCCCGAAGATCAGATAGGGCCGGCACGTGCAGATGTCGGACCCGAACACGTCGCTGCCGTTGCACTCGTCGTGCACCCGCAGCGCCAGCCGCACGTTGGGGTCCGCCATCTTGACCGGGTCGCCGAAACAGTACACCGTCAAACCCCCGATGGGGGGAAGAAACACCTTGATGTCGTTGCGCGTCACCAGCTCCGGGTACGAGCCGCCCGTGTGTTCGAAGAGGGCGCGGCGCAGCGCGGATTCCTGGATCCCGAACCGCTCCGCCACCCCGGGCAGATACCAGACGGGCTCGACGGCGAATTTGGTGACGTTCAATTCCCCGGTCTCGTTGAGGCAGATTCGCCCGTCCGGTTTCAAGCGGCCGGCCTTGACGGATTGTTCGAGTTCGGGGATCTTCATGTGCGCCTTGGTCACGGCGATGGTGGGGCGGATGTCAATGTCCTGCGACTGCATGAGGTCCTTGTATAGCCAGGGGGCCAGGTGGCCAAAGGGGTCCATGGCGACGATTTTCTTCTTGTCGCCCCATGCTGGGAAGGGCCCGATGTTGGCCGCCGGTTCGGTGTTGGTGAAGTCCGGTTTGTGCTCCAGGTCGAGATTGTTGCTCGCGACCGCCAGGGCGTGGTAGATGCTGTAGGAACCCCCGTGGGCGCCAATGGCGTTCCGCCGACGGATCGTGTTGTGGTGGCGGCTCACCACCACGGGCCCACGTTTGACGGGGTTGGGTTCTCCCCAATCAAGCGGGATAGGGTCGATCCCCGACTGGCCCGGGTAGGTGGTGAGGATGATGCGCGACGTGACGGATGATTTCCTCGCTGGCGCCGTGGGCGATGAAGGTGCCTTGGGAGCCAGGCTGGAGTCTGTGGGAGGAGAAGCGGCGCCGCTCGCCGACTTGCCCAGCTGGATGGGATCCAAGCTGGGCGAGTCTCTGATGCTTGTGCGAGACTGGGAAGCGCCGCGCAGTTGGCTCACCGACTGCGAGGTGTCGACTCTGCTCTGGATGGACTCCACGACGGCAGCTAGATTTGCCTGGTCAAGCTGTATCTTCTTGAGAGTGTTGAAGATCTCGGAGAGCACGGGCTCGGTGGTGACCCCATTGGTGGGCTGTGGATTGGCCATGTTGTTGCGAGATGCGCTGGATTGAGGTAACCTCTCTGGTCGAAAGGGGGGATCTCGACCTTGTATATCAAAGCCCTTCCAAAGCTTCGGGACCAAAAAGACTCAACAGATATATCGCAACCCCGCTGGAATACCAGAATAAATGATGAACTTGGTGCTGACAAGGGATGGCCGCGAAGGCGTGAAATACCTCCGGGACTGCTCTCAAACACCAACAGAAGCCCCAAGCACCCAAGCACGATCTAATGATGTATATGTATAAGGGGTAAAAGATAGATACTAGGTATAGAAAAGAGAAGAAGGAATCTCTTCAATGAGAGTGCAACGTTGAAGCAATGGGTTGGGTGCAGTGGGCGGGGGAGAGTGATGCCCTCTGCTCGATGTCCCGCAATGGCTTGTGATTGGTTCCTCGGAGCATCGGAGGTTGCCGTGATAACGATAACATTCCCGAGCTGGCACGTGACTGCGGAGTTGGGTGACGCGAGGCTGCGTCCTCGACGCTTCACTACTTCATTAATATCTAGTGACACCTGGGTGACGCCGAGTCCCTCGTCAACTCTGTCGAGTAACTCTTCTTGTTTATCCATCTTTCTGAATCTTCGTCTTCAGTTACGGCATCAACCGAGGTTATCGATATATAGACAAAAATGGTGAGTCCTCGTAAATCTCGAGGAGAGCCCCAAGTTCTAACGTGCTCGTGGTAGGGCAAGCGAAAGAAGTCGTCACGCAAGCCTCAAGGTCCCAAGAAAGTCAGTCTACCCTCCAACCTTTCCCGCTTCCACCAGGCTCAAGCCCAGATCGGTATCTGGAATGGATCCAATCCATGACCCAATGGTTTTCTCTCAAACTAACATGACCTTCCTCCCATCTGACAGCGCGAGCCCCTCGCCTCAACCTTCACCTGCCTCTTCTGCAACCACGAAAAAGCCATCCAGATCAAACTCGACAAGAAAGCCGGCGTGGGCAACCTACACTGCAAAGTCTGCGGGCAGAAGTTCCAAACGGGCATCAACTACCTGAGCGCCGCGGTCGACGTCTACTCGGACTGGATCGATGCGTGTGAAAATGTGGCACAGGATGCGGCGAGCAAGGAGGCCGAGGACGATGCCAAGTTCAGCAGCTATGCGACATCCGGTAGTAGGGCCGGCGGGGGGATTGGCGCCCCTGGAGGGGGAGGGGCCGATGAAGAAGACGAAGATGCCGATTACGGCGACGAGTAAATATTCCTATGGCATGGCATGGCATGGCATGGCGTTCATTTGGAACAACAAGTGTTTTCATATCATTAAAGAGGACGGGAATATCATTGGGCAAAATGGAGGTATCATAGGTCACCCTTGGCAGGCAGCAATATTCATGCAAAAATAACTGGGAAAGGGTCGTGATTCCAAGAAACACAACACGTTGGACGATATGTCGACGGGCATACGAGAAAAAGCCATATCCGCCACGAGCCATGCATTGGGCCAGAATTAGGAAGGACATCTTGGGAATATTGCATATCTCACACAAATGCCTTCATCAGTCCAGGAATACATGGCTACAGTCACTTATTGTCCTTGCCCGCAGAGCCACTCGAGGGATTCACATGTGAGCCCGCATGATGACCGTTACTTCCTTGACCTTCACACCACTCGACAACTCTCTCATTGTCATTCTGCACTTCCCGCAAGCTCGAGTCAGAAGGAGCCACTGCACATCGGCCGAAGTTTTCTGCTGCTCTTGATCCGTGGTGAGGACATCCTCATCTGTGGGTGCTGGTGAGCTGGACGAGCAACCTCAAAAGGGGCCGATAGCTTCATGGCCGTGATGCCCTCCGACTTTGACATGGACTGGTAACAGAGAAGTGCACCAACAGGGCCCCGGGGGAGAAACAACGGGGCAAAACCATCCGATGCAGGGCACCTGAAAAAGCATCCCGGTGCGTGAGACATGCATTGTTGTCGCAGGTAGTAGCCTCCATGGATGTGGAAGCAATCTTCGCAAATGCCACACCCATATTGTCACTGAGATACCGTCTATGACTCGACGGCAGTTCCGCCCGTAGTTGCGTCTGGAGCCTCCATCGATGCCGTTGCACCATCATACACACCGTGACGTTCAATGGTAGACAAGCACTGTCGATCTGCTGTTTCTGTGGAGATTCGTAGCATCCTTCCGTAGACCTACCAGTACGAGATCGACGGCGTCGCTGGCCACTTGGAGGTGCCGCAGTGTCCATTCACCAGCAGGTCACAGCAACCAGGAACAACAGTTAGTGCACAAGGGTACCGGGTCTCACACTGGGTCCAAGGGATAACTTCTCTGAAATTCATCAGCCATTTACTGTGACACCAATTAGACCCGAGTATCTGGCAACGAGTTTTCGGGGAAGGCTGGAAGGCGGCGAATACAGGGGGCGATCGCTTCGGGGTTTCGAAGGGGAAGCAACTGCATCGACATAGAAATTGAGTTCCTCCTTCTGGTCGAAAGCCAACGACTGCATCGTGAACTTGACGCCGTCGTTGTCATCAGCACCCTCACCTGCACGTCTTCATAAACGCAAGGGATGGAACAACCTGGCTTGAATTTCACGGGACATGGTAGTCGTCCCCTTTCATCTCAGACAAATGAGTTGCGGACCACTCACAGTGTCTATGCCGACCGACAGTATGACAGTGGCTCCGGTGGCAAATAATCCACCATCCCTAGAAGGTGGAACGTCTTTAGCCGTTTGGGCACTGTAGGTTGATTGCCCAGCGCTGGGGATGATCCGATTCGAAAGGGACACTTGTTTCGATAAACAAAGGTTTGACTCAAAGTCTTGAACTCCTTGATCAGGGTGTTGGCCCTGATCGCCAAAGTGTTGCGCCTGATTGAGGATCCTTCAACGGATGTTCGTGGGGACAAGGGGGCGAGGCGAAAAGCGAACCCACACCTCGTATAACAGGGCTGACCGGGCATAATGTACCTTTCGTACCGTGCCAGGGGCATCAGAAGTGAGACTGGAGAGCTTGATCTGACAATGCAAGACATTCCTGCCTTGATTGTTGCGAGATTTGATGGAGCAACGTCGGATCGCCTCCCTTCCTCAGGGCCTGTCGCAAAGTATTGGGACCTGCAATGCCTTCGCAGTGATCTTCATGCAACTGTGATGTGCATGAGGAGGGGGAAATGTCTTTCCGTCGATTTTCCCGAAAGTAGTCGGCCCAATCACAGCCAGTCCAGAGTGGCCATCTTTGCAAATCCAAAACAAGGGGAGGCTTGTTGGAACTTGGAAGAGTCGTCTTGCCTTTTCCAGAACGGGCTGCTGTTCCTCGCCTGTTTGCTTCTTCTCTACCTAAGCGAGAGGGAGTTGGTGCTACTAGCCGGGCACAGCCCTCTCGCGACGATAATGGATCGGCATAGACTTCTCAAATGCAGTGCGTCCTGCACAGGCGATCGATGCAAGATCGCAGACCTGCAGTAAAGAGGGGATGCAGTGCAATACCAATGCAACAGCGGAACAGGAAGGCTGAGTATCGCAGATGCAGAAGTGTAAGGCTCTTGGATGGCGGCATCATGACGAGGGTGTGTCCGGCAGCACACGCACATCGGCCCAGACACCAAGACTCGCCCTAGGACCCAGCCTCCCCCCAAGCCGAATGCGTCCCGAAGCAGCTCGCAAAAAAAGACCCTTTTGTCACGGCGTGGACTCCACACATGGAGCTGAAGCAAGAGAACTCTTTGGTTGGAAAACAACTAGGGATAAGGCACCCCGTTCAAGAACTTCTGGATACGTGCTCGACGGAGTAATCATTGCTGATCGAGTGATCCTGGCGAAGCTGACCCGGTCTCCACGACAGCGATTGGACTGCTTGAGCCGAAGCTGGTCAAAGCCAGTCGCAGAGTGGGCTGCTGGGATTTTCTTCTGCAAATCATGGATTGACAACACATCAAACTTGTTGGGATGTGGGCGGCAAGCCGGCTGGCCATTTGTACGAATTGTAAACTCGCCACCATGCCAATCGCTTTGAAACAGACTTCCCTTTGCGTTTTGCCATCTCCTTTGATCCTCTGCCATTTGATCCAGGGAAGGAGGGGAGCACTCGTATGTCGAGACCCCCTTGATGTCCCTACTTGTACAAGAGGCGTCACTCATTGGGCGTTGTGACACAAGAGAAAGAAGCCGGCGGTGTCATGCCCTCCTTACCCGTATCATTGATCGCCGGGAGGCTGAAATACTCAATGAATCGCATGTGCCACAATTCTTTTGCCGCTATGGGCCCCGGGCCTCTGCGCACATGATGGTCCCGTCATCGGACGAAGGCCGGGTGCCGATGTGGACCGTCAGGACATTCGGCAGATCTGCTGTAGAAGCCTGGCCTAGCATGCAATTCAAGCTTTCAGAAGGAAGGGCATATTGACCAGGTGTTGGTGCATTGTCCATGCATCGTGGCCTCAGGAACCCAGTGATCTTGCATTTGCATGCCTCTGGTTGGCATCTTGGATCCAGATAGATTCAACCTGCAATGCGACCTTAATTCATAGCGGATACACATGCACAGCGGGAACACCCCGTCTGCATCCCCGCATGCAAGCAAGCTGTCTCGCAGAAGATCCCTTGCCGACGGTATACGGGAAGGCTCAGCATCCAACAGCCACTCAATAGAGCATCTTCAAAGCATCTCTAATTTGACGATGCCGGCTGTCTATTGCCAGTCGTCAAGATGAGTGTGCGATTGAATGCACACGTGCTGTAACGACGTTGGTCTGGAACTTTCCAGAGACCCCAACATGGTTTGTCTAAATGTTCCGGTAAAGGAGGTTGGTAGCTTTTGGTCCTGAGCCTCTTTCCAGAAAATAGAATGGATGAGGATCGGCGGCCGGCCGCACAGACCCTGGGTAGCACTGTAGATACCACTATCATCCGGTAACCACTTTGTATCATTCCTACCGGAGTATCCGGGTCTCTCTCTTCTTAATTGTTGACCAAAGGATGAGCAACGTCCAACCTGATGGGGTCGATTGCGAGCAGAAGCCTGGAGATGAGATTCACGAAAGACGCTCTGTCAATGCTCTTGATCAATTGATGAGGCTGGAAGACCATTATTTCTTTGGAGATTCCGGAGCCCAACTCCGTGCGAGGGAGGGGAAACGCCCGTCTTTGGTCGACCGTAAGGCAGGCACTTGAGCTGGGCCATGACGCGCAGTAGAGGGAGCAAGCTAAAACTGAAATTTGTGGTGACTTGAACCCCGAGTCGCACTGGCCAGCCACAAGCTGACAGATGATGCCATCAGCGCCCCGAGAACAGGGCTTGAATCGACTCACGAGTTCTTTTTGAAAGCCAGGGTCAGACAATAGTGCGTTGTACAGAACGTCTGAGACTTGGGTCAATGCAAGCAGTTGCTTCTGCAATGTCTCTTGTCTCCGCATGGACGGCGAGCCATGGCTGCTCTCATACGCAAGCCTCCTATAGACTGTAGTAACATATTAGACGAGCTTCGTGGATACTAGGTACGCGCTCGGACACTTGATGGCGTAGCTGATTACCGCTGTACCTCACCTTAGCGCTTGGAAGACCCGGCAGATACGCCCAATCCGGCCTTCATCAGGGAGCACTCGTGGTCTACTAACCGAGGCCAGGATGGAGGTCGCGGCATGATACCGGGAAGACCTGCGCGACTGGGCACAGGATCGAGTGGCCGTTCAGGGCATGGGAAAGACGGAGTCGGGCAACAGAGTTTGCGACGCGAGAGCTGCCGCGGGCTGAAGCAAGATGGCTTGTGCACATTCTGGCGAGCATCCGCAAGTCAGCGACAAGGAGCAGGGGACTTGGAACATCTCAACCAGGGCAACAAGGGGGATGGAGGCCTTGCTCATCATCACCTTATCATCGTCCCCCCTCACTCCAGGTGGATGCCAGGGTGGGCACCGTGGCTCTCCGTTCCGGACTAAGCGCGACTCCGCCGGGAGAAGCAATGGAGGGACATGCTGCTGTTGGTTGGTGCCACCTGGAAATCGTCCGACACTGTGGCACAAGCCTTTTCGTCGAGACCGACCAAATTAAAATCCAGACCTGAGAATTTGAATGAGCATCCACTGAGTAACGTCGAGACGAGAATCCTGAGCGAAACAAAACAGGCTCGTGAGGTGAGAGGAGGAGCAGATGTCGCACTGGAGATTGTTCGCGGCCGGAGCTGGGGGGCCGACGAAAGGGCGCAACTCTTGATAGACAGTAATAGGTGTACGGTAAGTGCTTGGAACGGAAAGGAAGGACGCTCTCCCCCCAAACATCCACATTCGGGCGGTACGTGGGCCCTGGAGTCGGACTGGAGGAGGTGGCCAGGCGATTTTTACACGACGATGGTTGGGGAACTTGGGGGCTGCCCGTGATAAGGTGACGATTCTCCCGAGCCTGAACTGATAGGCATACGAGTAGGCGGCACCCGTATGGGGGCAGGAAGTATGCCAGGTGCCAGGTGGTGAGGATGGATTCGCAGTTATGGTTCTAGTCCTGGACTTTAGGGTCGGTTGTGCTCCTGGTGGCTTGCAGCGCAATCCAATTGACCATCTCTAGGTGGACCCGATGCTGACTGGATGCGACGCCCTTTTCGGAGGGCTGGAGGAGTAGCATGAAGAATTGAATTTTTTGCCCTTTGAGGTTGACGACAACTGGCCTGCCCTTTTTTCCACATACAAGTATGTACGGGGTACTGTGCTGGCTCCAAAAGCGCCTGACCGTCCGCAATGGTTGCTTCTGCTTGGGAGGTCAAAGAATCCACCTCTGGCCAGCAAGGCGCACCGCTGGCACCTGGGAACGCCTGGGGCTCAAGCTTGGGCGCTTAAGAGCTTTCAAGAAGGCTCTTGATCAGAATTTAGTACTGCATAGTTCCGAGTAAGGAAGCCGTGTTCTCGTAGTGCTCCGCAGTGAGAAGGATTCTAACTCCTACCCGTAGCACTACGTACAGAGCCGGAGCACTAACCACAGTACCGAGTACGGAGTATGTTATCCCTGGCACAAGACGAATATATTACCCACCTAGGCTTCGGTTGTTGGCCGTATTGTACGTACTGTGTAAGTTGAGCCCTTAACCCCGTCATCGTTCCCGACTCTTTCTGAATCAGCCACGGGTCTCGGAGGCTATCGTGGAAGGAATTGGCAGGAGGCAGGTGGCAGGAGATTCCAGGACTCGTCAAAGGTCAATGGTAACTGTAAGTTTGTCCCAAGCCCGCCGACGCGAAAGGCAGGGTGCAACGTTATCTGGTCGAAAAGGGCCGTCGTTGTAAGAGGAGAGTAACTTCCGTAACGGAGGAAGAAGGGCAAGCCAGCCGTTTCCCGGCTGCGATTGGCAGCCTGCGTCCGCCCGCCGTGGGTCTTTGTTTGACCTTTCGTGGAGCGTTCAAAAGTCGCAAGTTTCGGCACGCTTGGGATCGCTGGGAGCATGGTCTGTGTGCGAGGGTGAGAGGTTGTGTGTGAGTGGAGGAGTGGATCATGGATCACCGACCACCTGCGACTGGCGACTGGCGACTGGGTAGTAGGGCCAAAAAAGGCCCATGGTTGGGAGTGGAACCATCTTTTGCTGGGCAGTGCGCGGGCAGCTTGGGGCCTTGCTCAGGCTTGCTGGCTTGCGGGCTTGCTGGATGTGCTGGGGCTTTAGAGTTAGTGGGTCGCCAGGGAAGACCTCCCCTAGGCAGGTTAAGGAACAATCTGTTGCCAATCACGCACCGCCCACGCTGGGTTGTGGCCAGTTAGCGGGCGCAGGTAGCGGACAAGCCCTTGTAGGCTGCTTGGAGGAGGGGGTGGGTGGAGGGTGAGGAGTGCAATGGGATCAAGAGAATAGCGGCTTCGGCGCCGTTCTTTGCCTCTTTGCTGGGCTTCTGGCTTCTGGCCTCTAGCCTTTGACTTGAACTTGACACCACCCTCTCCCACCCCCCCAGTCCCTCCACCCTGCTCTGGACCTCTAGACCTCTGGACCTCTGGACCTGCTGGCCCTCTGCCTATTTTGCTCTAATGCACCACCTGCGCACACCTTCTTGTCCTCCCGCTCGGCTACTGCACACCGTCTGCGTCTCTGCATCCTACCTGCTTCCCAAACCTCGTTGCCTCTTTTCTCCAGATCTCCATTGAACCATCTTTCCTGCAACCCCCAATCCAGGTGTATGCTGTCCGCCCGTCAATAGTCATGGCCTAATTGCGCGTCACGATTGTCCCTTCAAGTTCATGTTTGAGAAGCGTTCTCCGGTTGTTCGGTATGTGCTCAGAAGAGGAAGAAGAAAAAAGTCTGCCATCAGCCTCTGTGAAGCGAAAAAGTCCGCTGCCCGTGCACAGTAGTCCGCACAACAATCTGACCCGAGCTGCCACTTTTTCGCTGATCTTGCTGCATGCTCCATGTGCCTGCATGCTGCACAACCTCTGTCATGAAATACATGCTAACATCTTGTCCGCCTGTGCAGTTTGCGATCCCATTGACGGCGCTCTTTCGTTGCCTTGTTCCCGCGCCGGAAAGCTCATCAGAAAATACGCGGCTACTGCGAGTATTCACACTCGGGAGGCACCTGAACGTCTTGGATTACTCGGTCACTGCGTCCAATCGTGCATGCCCCCAGCAACATCGTCCGCAATTTGGTCTTCTTTGTTGAAGAAGAAATTGCCGGCGTTGCTAACGACTATACCGGCTATAGACGATAAGGCTTGACTGTGCGCTGGGGAAACCCTCCGACAAGCTCGAATTTCACCTGGAGCCATCCGACGATCGATTTCGACTTGGAACTTCCTGGATACCATTACCTTGGTGGACAGTCGGTGTATAAACTTTGACGCTTGCGGATTAATCTATCGCGAGCCCAAAAATCCGAGAACTGTGCTAAGAGACGGGATATATTTGTGGATTTTGGTTGTTCAGGCTGCGCCTTTTGAGTCGTAAGAAGCCGTGTCACTAGTGATTGATCCAGCAGGCGAGAGATTCAAGCTCTCAGACCTTCCAAAACCCAACTATCTCGGGGAGGTATTGTCCTTTGCTTGTGATTGGCTTTGGGCGGACGCAACTCATCGAGGAAATATTGGTGGTTGACGCATATTGATCCAAAATGAATCAAACGCAGTCGTACCTGGATATGCATCCAGGCTCACACATATCTTCCGGACCTTCATACTCCCACGCGGGTTCTACAGCGCCGTTGGGCCATTATCAGCATTATCAACAACCTCCAATTCCCGCATCGTCACATTACGGGCCGCCTCCGAGCTATGGGACTTATGCTTATACGAACGGTGTTACTTCTCCGCAGTCTGCCACTGGGCCGGTGGCGCAGCAGGTATCCCAGATCACTTCACTTCCTGGTAAGACCCATACGCGTGAGATGGCAAATGAGTATCCTTTCTGACGACGTAAAAGCTATCATGACCGGTGCTCCCAATCCTCAACATTCTTATGTGACTCAAACGCCGGGCCTGCCCGCTCCAAACCAAGGGTTCCCTCAACAGCAGCAACCTTTTGATACTACTGGCCAAATTGCTCCACCGGGCATGAAACCGAGGGTAACAGCCACACTCTGGGAAGACGAAGGTAGCCTGTGCTTTCAAGTGGAGGCTAAGGGGGTTTGCGTGGCTCGCCGTGAAGGTAACGCCTGATTGTAAACCAGCGTATCAACATGAGATGAAGCTTACTTGTTTTGCAGATAACCATTTCATCAACGGAACAAAGCTCCTCAATGTTGCTGGAATGACCCGGGGACGTCGAGACGGCATCTTGAAGTCTGAAAAGACCCGACATGTGGTTAAGATCGGGCCCATGCATCTGAAAGGAGTTTGGTAAGTCTGCCAAATACTTGAACATTAATGCAGTCTGTTAATTTCGTTCAGGATACCTTTCGAACGTGCTCTTGATTTTGCCAATAAGGAAAAGATTACAGATCTCCTGTATCCACTTTTCGTGCACAATATTGGCGGTCTACTCTACAATCCTGAGAATGCGTCTCGCACCAATGCAGTCGTGCAAGCAACAGAGCGCCGTCGGATGGACAGTGTCGATTCCACTCGTCCATCTCAACCCCAGGCGCCGTCACTCCAGCATCACAATAGCATGCCGGGTCCAATTCAAGCTCCGCCCACACCGCACTCGATTGCTCCGCATCCGAATGCACCACGTCCGGGAATCGACCGTGCACATACCTTTCCGACTCCTCCAACGAGCGCGTCGAGTGTGATGGGGATGAGCAGTCAGGGAACTTCATACGACTGGGGCACCCAGGGCTTGACGAATGGCGCACCGGGAGCACAGCCTCTTTCCATTGACACTGGCATCAACGCTCGTTCCATGCCTACAACGCCTGCGACGACTCCACCCGGGACTGCTGGGCCAGGGATGCAAACTTACCAAGGACAGTCAGGTTACGAGAATTCGAAACATTACTATAGTACTACGCCCAGCTCTCAAACCGGTTATGCGCATCATCCTGACGGAAGCCGGTACGGCCAGCCTATGCAGACTGTTCCGTATGGGAAGACTGATATGGGCCCACCAATTGCCCCAGGAAGCGCTGGTGCTGGAGCAGATGGGCATGACCCGAAACCTGATGCGTATACCGCTCAGAGCCATTCATCCCAACATGAAAGTGACCATCCAGACAGCGGTTACATGAGCGCGAATCCCTCTGCTTACAGCACGGGCCGGCAATATACATACAGTGCCACAGGTGAGCATCCACACATGTCTCCTGAGCAGATGTCGGGCTCTCCAACGCATCAGGCTGGCTCCGGTCATGCGACACCAAGGACCATGCCTGCAGGTCAACCACAATGGACAGGAGATTATAATACTCCACCCCGACCTCCCACTTCCAGCAATGTATATAATGTGATGGGCGGCCGGGATCGTACTCCGCAGGGAGGGCCAACTGACAGCTATGGGAATCCGACATATGCGACTGCCGGCCATCCCACGAGTGTGTCTTCGGTGAAACGAGGGCGAGAGGACGATGACCAAGACCGTCCCAGCAGCCGAGAATACGACGGTTACGATCCGAAACGGCGCAAGACAGCACGACAAGACACGTACAGCATGCCCCTCAACACGCCTCCCCACATGCAAGCAATCAAAACCGGTGGACAGCGGTAAACGTCTTGATATTCTCGTCCAAAAGACTCTTGTCGGTGTTGGAGACGTGTGACGAGTGGAAAAGTGGACTTGCGCCTCCGATGGGCTCTACTTTCGAGGTAATGCCGCATCACGATATATTTCCAAAAAGCGATTACGAGATTTACGACGGCCTTTTGAGCCAAAAAGATTAAAGACTAACGAACGGAACAAGCGTGCACGGTTTGCTCCTCGACTTTTAACGACCTTACGAAACGATTTCCTTCGAGCGCTCGCAGATGGCGAAAATCACGATTTTCTCTTTGCGATTTCCGGCCGTTTGGGGCAGGGTTGAATTTCGCGGGCTTAGATGTTCTGCTTCCTTGTTGTGTATGAGGGAACGATATACGCGTGGATGGATTATGATTTGGGACGGATGAACAGCTATGATTCTGAAGGGTGCCCGATGATATGTTTTCTTGGCTGCGGGAACGAGAGCAAGACTACATGCGGCTGCTGGGCCTTGTCGACGACATGTACAACTCAGAGAGTCCCGTTAATTTTCATGTGTCAAGGATTAGGACTGCCCTCGGGTGCGCAGTAGAGGTCAGGCGCTGCAGGAACAATGGCTCATGGCTCCTGTCTCCCCAATCGTGGGACTTCCACTCATGACATGTCGAATACAATAAAAGCTCGATTTGTAATGATGCGGCGTCTCTTGCTTCTGAACCTGGTAGATATCGTCGCCACGAAAAGCACGCAAGCATTTGGCAATTCAAGCACGAGGTAGAAGTAAATACCTAGCGAGTACCTAAGGTATCAAGTGCGAGCCTTGCCAAGTAAGGTCGTCGATAGCCAGTAATAGTACCTAGGTACTAGTAGTCACTGCAACTGGAAGCTCAGCAAGACACCGAAATAATAATAGTACCCCTCACTGGCCAGATCTGGACTAGCGCGGATAGTGCCAAGCTTGGCCGCACCATGAATTTGTTACCGTCGATTGACTTGATTCTTCCAAGAGATCGAGGTTTATCTGCAAACCACGACACCGACCGCTCTCCAGTCATCGTCTCAAGATGTAAGTCCGGCTCGCTCTATGCGATAACTCAAGTGCTTCAATTTCTGGGCTCTTTCTCCCGGACACTGTTCTTTTGGGCCGTGGAAAGTGCTTGACCGGGACTATGAAAGATTTGACGCTGATACATGGTTCTTTGCAGGACGAACCTCCGCACCCAGAAGCGCCTCGCGGCGTCCGTTGTCGGCTGCGGCAAACGCAAGATCTGGCTTGATCCCAACGAAGTCAACGAAATTTCCAATGCCAATTCGCGACAGACAATCCGGAAATTGGTCAGTGATGGACTCATCATCCGCAAGCCGGTGGCGATGCATTCGAGGGCTCGTGCGAGGGAGTTGAATGCGGCGAGAAGAATTGGCAGACACCGAGGGTTTGGTAAGAGAAAGGGTACGAAGGATGCTCGAATGCCTAGGTATGATGAAGCGACCCCATTATGAGCAAGGAACGATTGGCGCTCTCTGGAGAACTTTCCGCTGACGGCTATCGGTTTACAGCCAGGTTCTATGGATGAGACGCTTGCGTGTCCTTCGCCGTCTGCTCGTCAAGTACCGTGCTGCGGGCAAAATCGACAAGCACCTCTACCACGAACTCTACCAATTGAGCAAGGGTAACACCTTCAAGCACAAGCGTGCTTTGGTTGAGCATGTATGTCTCCACGCCCCTTTTATACTCGTTTCGGGAACAGAAATTAACACGTACAACCGCAGATCCACAAGGCGAAGGCCGAGAAACAACGTGAGAGAATCCTCAAGGAGGAAATGGATGCCAAACGTGCCAAGACGAAGGCCGCTCGTGAACGGAGACAGGAACGTATTCAGACCAAGAGAAATGCACTTGCTGGCGAAGCCGAGGAGGATGCCAAGCAGCAAGAGCAAGAATAGAGGGCTGGAAAGGCCTGGCGAAGAGGGACGTGAGGTGATTGTGAAGAGCAACATTTTGAGCATGTTGCGTGAGCCTGGCGTGGAGGGCAACCTCAACCACATGCTCCCACACAACGACGGCGTGCACACCTGGGCGGAGATGCTGAACCAACACGATGGGGAAGGGAACTTCCTATGAGCCTGGCATAGAAATCATGGCTTCATATGGGGGATAGTGGTTTCAATAGCCGTCATGATAAAGCAACGAGGAGTCCGGATCAACAAGGTGACTTGTACCTCCTTTGGTTTTCCTCGGGTTTCCTCTGCGCAGCTGCGATCTCCAGGACCTTTCTAAGCTTCTCGAAAGCGCCTTGATATTGCTGCCTCAGAGTAGACCACGGGTAGGCTGATCGGACTATGGTGATGGGTCTCGAGGGGTGCATGCTGCTCCAGTGCCCTCACTACCAGCGAGCCGACTGAAGTGATTAAGCATTAGTCAAGGTTGCCTTAGTATCTTCCGTCGTGAGGGTCTCCTATCTGCTTGAAGTTACAGCGCGAGCGTTATCCCTAAGCTTCATCCTAAATATTAGGTGTCTCTAGTTTGACGGCGACGTCGTCGTTATTGAGCACTCTGTGTCAGATAGTGCCAGGTCAGGCGGGCGAACCTCCCATCAGACCTTGAATGCGCATCCTCGGGCTAAGAGGCATCACTTGTCACCACTTGTCCACTTGGGCACGGCCACTATTCAACCCGCATACTGCGCACCTAGGTACCTAGGGTGCTAGGTACATACACCGACCTGCAACGCTATGCAAGTGCCCCTTGGGTGCCCCTGTCACCGAAGCCTTCCAAGGTTCCTATCGAGATGGCCCTCTAAGCTTGGCAACACACCCTCTGTGCCTCTGCATCCACCATCCACTACTGCAACGCCAGGTGTGACCAACTTCGCTCCCTTCCCCCAGGAAGCCACACTAGATTTGACTGGGTTGATTTCGACTTCGCGCTGGTGCGGAATCCCCCAAATGGTCACTTCTACTCCGGCCTGAAGATCTGCGCATCCGCGCTCCGACTTGGAGCCTTGTTATATCGTTAGGGAATGCCGCAAGTCACGGTTGTCCTCGTGCCGTTCCGCTTCCGATTGAACTGCACCATCGATACTACTTAAATATTCAACGCCCACCACGCAGCATCCGCCAATTTTTTGAGAGCAGTAGCCAGAGAAACCTGGCGCCTGGGTCTCAGAGAGCGACCCAGGACGGCCGTTGAGACTGCCTTCCGCAAAATTCGGCACCTGAATGGTAAGAGCTTCGATACGGCACTCCTGTCATCATGTTTGGAGTAAGTTGGGCTGCAGTTGGTAAGTGGAAATCGAACCATGATGTCGCCCAAGTCCTGCTGCGACGAAGCGGTGTACGTATCTGGCGTCGGAAACTTGACGCTCCAAATCCACCTTCTGTCAAAAACCACTTCATGAACCGAATCAATCTGTTCTGACACAATCTCAAACTGAGTCGTGTCTTTGACCCAGAGTCTTCTGGTGTGTCAAGGGACCAGATTGAAGTTCGCCATCCAAGACATATGTTATGCCACCTCCGGGTCTGGTTCCTTGGGGGAACTTGGTCTTCTGCAACCCCAAGTCAGGCGGTTCAGACGCATCTGATTCTTCACCTCACTTTTCGCATATCTGGACCGAGGATGACTGGCCATGCACTGACCTGTGACAGGCGCCGGAGGAGATGGCCTTCTTGAGCGAGAACGGAATCCGCCCCCAAAGCCTATTCCACTGGAGTTTCCCAACTACGTCCCTCCACGCTGTAACAGCCCGTTGACCCGGCAGCACATCAAGAACGTCTGTGGAGAGCTCGCTTCGATTCGTAAACTACCCGACATCCGCGACGATCATCTCGCCCATCTCAATATCCACCTGCTCCAACATGTTCCACTTCCAGAGTTGGTGCCCAACAAGCAATTCCACTCACGTCCACTGCTGTACGACAATGATCTAACAGCGATGCTCGAAGAACTTGAAGTCGGTAATGAAGATGCGTATCGAGAAGTGCTCAGACTTGCACCTCTTGAAGGGAGGAAGAAACCCCGCCTGGCATACTCAAGGAACTTTTTCGCTAGTTTGGAGGACATGAGTCGGTACTGGGACTATAGCAAAGATAATTATTACGAGGTTGAATCCAGTGCCACGGAAGACCAGGCCAAGGACACCGAGCAGAAGACCGAATATATCGAGAAGAGCGTCAGTAACGCAACTGATATTGAGATGCAAGATCCTGTCGAGAACTCACAGAGTTCTGGGCAAGAAATTGGGCAAACGGCAAATCACAACCACTCACCTGACAGTCAAGCACCCATGTTCCCCCTCGAGATGCCTAGCCGCCCAAAGATGAAGCAGGTATACAAGGGACAGCGCCTCGGGAACGGCGAGCAGATGAGCCCTGGTACCCGAGTTTCGGCAGTGAGGAATCTTTTGAAAATGGCCGTCCACAAATTCAACTGCCGAGATTACGACGTGAGCCCGAGAGAGAAGTTGAGAATTCACAACATCAATATCCCATCTGTGTCCTATAATTTTTGCGTTGCAAAGTTACCGACTGATACGAAGCTTTTGAGGGCGAGGATGGTGGAAGGGCCTGTGATGGCAGTCCATTGCAGACACGAGGTAAGATTCAAGTCGAGGGACGGGCTCCTGAGCGCGACGAGTGATTTTGTGGGCGAAAAGTTTGATCTATTTCGCGAAATCGGCGGCATGTTGATGCTCGCAAAGCAGAGAGCACGAGAAGGGCAGACGCTATCCAAAGAACCGGGCGAGCATCAGTGGTGGGCTATTAAGAGCCGATGGGGTGGTGGCGAGACGAGATGGGGCCAGCTTGCAAGCGAAGTCTTTGAGGATGAAGATCCAAGCTGGAGTCCGGGCGAAAGGCGACTACAACTTGGAAAGCGGGAGGAAGAAGAAGAGGAACGCAGGAAGGCAGAGGCCGCCGCTGCAGCCGACCTGAAGAATCTCAAACCAGAAGACCTAATGTCGGGTCCGGCGTCACCTAGCGAGAGGCCAAAGAAGAAGAAGAAAAGTGGTGAAGCGGGCGCCTCGCCGAAAGACAAGGCTGAATATAAAGACGGGAGACGACTGATGTATGTCCCGCCCCTACGGCGGAAGTGGTATCAAGAGTGGTTGAAAGTCCGCCCAAATGGCCCCTATTGGGACGAGAAGGTGATCCATCGGAGAATTGGTAAGCAAAGTCAAGATGAAGGGCCGCCTGGCTGGGACGACATCTTCATGATATCGGCCGCAAACCATCACGCGTGCATTTTGAAGCTGAGTGTGCACGAGAAGTATCTGGACTGGCTGGAGACCGGCGGGCAGGTAGATGCACGGGCTGAGTCGCAGGAGACGGCAAGCAAGGCGGACGTGCACCAGCGGCAAGAACATGTTCTCTACGTGAGCAGGAGCCCGTGGCTGGATCTGTTTGATGTTGAGCAAAGAAAGGAATTGCTTGTCGGGATATGGAGGATCCTGAGCTGGATCAACCGACACGAGGTGCCGCGAGGAGAGATTGAGAAGATGGAAACGCTCAAAAGTTCTCAGCAACAACAGGGAGAAGCTCAGGGCGAAGACCACCAGATGGAGCTCTGACCTCGCCGGTCTCAAATCAGTGGGCGAGATATACAGAAGGCCAGCACTGATCAGACCAGAGCGTCAGGAACTGGCCGAAAATCTGTTGCGGCAGATAGCGAGTTTAGGCCAATCTCGCCAATGGATTATGATTGCATCGCGGGATTGAGGTCAACCGCTTATACAGCTCAGCCTCGTCGCCCCTCGCGTGCCCCTTGAATACATGTACCTACTAGGTAATTAAGGTACGTAGGTAGATATTCGGGAAACTGACCAATAGAATTCTCAGCCTTGCGGACAAGGCTGAATACGAGAAAAAGTCACGTCATAGGCCGACGACACCAAAATTTTGTCCCGCAACCCGCGGGGAGGAGTCATTGATTTACCTCGTACGTACCAATCGACCTGGCTGTGTTCTCTCCGCGTCCTGTCTGTGTTTGTCCGCGGTCGGTTGCTGACACCACCAAGCACTATTCTCTCCTTTCCAGCCACGATTTGACATTTGACGTGCACCTTGTCATTATGCCTGCGTCGCACCTCTCAGAAGGCATTCGCATCCAGCAAAATGGCGAGCAGCCGGAGAACACTCTTCGTCGCGAAGTTTCGCGCAGTCTCTCCATGTCCACCTCCCCCATTGACGCCTTCCACCACCGCAAAGTGTCCTTTGGCGTCGACAACATCAGTGGTACCTCTCCTAACCTCAGACGAACAATAACGGGGCCTCAGCCTAAGCAATTAAAACCCTTCCGCGAACAGGACGTCAAGATTCTGCTGTTGGAGAATGTCAATCAGACGGGGCGGGATATATTAAAGGGCCAAGGGTATCAGGTTGAGTTTTTAAAATCGAGCTTACCGGAGGATCAGTTGATTGAGAAGATCAAGTAAGAGACCTCATGCTGGAAGGATCTTCCTGTGTCCTGCCCCCCTCATGACTGACGTTACTGTCTAGGGATGTACATGTCATCGGCATCCGTTCCAAGACAAAGCTCACTGCCCGCGTGCTAGCCGCAGCAAAGAATCTCATTGTGATCGGCTGCTTCTGCATCGGCACAAATCAAGTCGACCTGAAATACGCCGCCTCGCACGGGATATGCGTCTTCAACTCGCCCTTCAGCAACTCGCGCTCCGTCGCCGAACTGGTCATCTGCGAAATCATTGCGCTGGCTCGCCAACTGGGCGATCGCTCCAATGAACTGCACCGCGGCACGTGGAACAAAGTCTCTGCGCGGTGTTGGGAGATTCGTGGCAAGACGCTGGGCATCATCGGCTACGGGCACATCGGGTCGCAATTGTCTGTCCTGGCCGAGGCTATGGGCATGGACGTGATATACTACGACGTCGTGAACCTGATGGGCTTGGGCACCGCACGTCAAGTGCCCACCCTCGAACATCTCCTGAAGGACGCCGACTTTGTAACCTGCCACGTCCCGGAGCTGCCGGAGACGATGAACATGATCGGCGCCAAGGAGCTGGAGACCATGAAGAAGGGAAGCTACCTCATCAACGCCTCGAGGGGGTCAGTCGTGGACATTCCCGCGCTGATTGACGCGATGCGCTCGGGTCACATCGCCGGTGCCGCGCTGGACGTGTACCCTGCGGAACCGGGCGGGAACGGCGACTACTTCAACAACGGCCTCAACCCCTGGGCGGAGGACCTGCAATCCCTGAAAAACATCATCCTGACGCCGCACATCGGCGGATCGACCGAGGAGGCCCAGTCGGCCATCGGCATCGAGGTCGCCGAAGCACTGGTCCGCTACGTCAACGAAGGAGTAACCGTCGGCGCCGTCAACATGCCCGAAGTGTCCCTGCGCTCCCTCACCATGGACGAACCCGACCACGCTCGCGTCATCTTCATCCATCAAAATGTCCCCGGTGTGCTGAGGAGAGTCAACCACTTGCTGGGTGACCACAACGTCGACAAGCAGATGACCGATAGTAGAGGCGAGGTCGCGTACCTGATGGCCGATATCAGCAACGTCAAGGAGAACGAGGTCGCAGAGCTGTATGCCGAGCTCGAGGGCGTCAAGGAGAAGATCCTCACGAGGATCCTCTACTGAACAACATGCACCAGACCAGGCCTCAAGGTGACCCGGGTGTCCATACTTACTATACCACGCAACGAGCGAGACGCCCCGTTCGGCTTCTACACGCCCATCAAGCAAAAGAGGAAGAAAGGCAAAATGGTCAAGGATCAAGCCTCATATCCTATTATTGGTTTAATGAGTTGGGGTTTTCCAGAAACGAAATTTGAAAATACATGGGAGTTAATCGGGAAAAAAGACCCAACCGAAAAAAAATACGATAGAGGAAAAGATATTAGAAGATGGCAATGGAGGCGCAGCTCCGGGAATTGTATGGCACAGACACGGCTTTCAACCAGCCAGCTAGCAACTCACAGGGCGTTCAGCGAGAGTCGCATATGGGGCGTGCATCAACGGCTTTCCGCGGTCTGAGGATTCAACAATGCTGGAGGCTATGTAAATATCGGAGCAGAACGGAGGCTGGGAGATGAGGTGCTTGTACAGGTCATTGGTTTCTTTCACAAAATGCAGCTCTTTCCATCATCCACTTCCTGAAAACATCCAACGCCCAGCTGTGTTCGGTCTCCCGCCCTCGTCCAAGTCGAGCCGCTTCTATGACTCACAAGCTAATGGAACACTTAGGTTCCGTCGGCGTCTCGTGACACTGCGGAGCTCTGGGAGCGCGCCCTTTCAAATTTCACATCCGTTCGTCGTTCTTGAGTCATTCTTGTGCTCCGGTCGTCAAGAATATAACCCACCACCACCGAACGCTTTCCATACGGTGCGTGAACTGGACAAAATCAAGTGGTTAAGAAGAAAGTTGGACACCAGCCTCTTTTCATGATATTGCTCGTCACAGGGTATAGAAGCGGTCGCCGAAGTCACCGAGGCCGGGGACGATATAGCTGCGGGAGTTAGTTGCACAACTTTCACACAGCCCATACGAAAGACTCACTTTTGGTCATTGAGACCTTGGTCGACAAAAGCCGTGATTACCCTGACTTTGGGCACCTTTGTGGCAAAGTTCTCAATCCCTTCAGGACTGGCAATCAGGTTCAAGAACAAAATACGTTCTTCTGGCACGCCCTTGCTCTTCAGAACCTCAACGGCCATGATTGCGCTACCACCGGTTGCCAACATCGGATCCAGGAGCAGCACCCATCGATTGGCAACGTCCGGGGGCAGCTTGTCATAGAACAGCTTTGGTTTGCTTGTTTCCTCGTTGCGCTGGATCAGGATCTTGCCTATCCTAACCGAACGGCAACATTCTCTTAACCCCTGCTCCATCGACTCTCCTGCTCGCATAATGGAAACACCGCAGATTTTCCCCTCGAATTTCACCCCAACATAGTCTTTGCCAACAGGAGATGTGACGGTATGTGCGACGACGGGAAGATGGTTGAGGCCTTCTTCGACCAGAAGACGAATGATACGATTGGAGTAGAAGATGAAGTCCGCTCGCTGGGTGTTCTTGTCTCGAATCATGCTTGATCGAACCAGTCAGCCACTCTTGTCTCGATCGCCCCAAGTTCTTTAGAGTACCCACGTCAGAAGAGCAATCAGCTGGGGAGTTTGGGGCAAGACGTGGACATTTTCTTGCTGGACGCTTTTTGAGACAGTGGCGGTAGGTTTCTCCTCCTCTGGACGATAAGCAGGCCCAACGCCCACAGCGGGTGATTGCACCCCGTTGGCTCGCGAGATTGAAGCCATAACCAACAAGCAATATACTGTGGTATACAGCGGAAAGGATAGGGATCTGGCTGCTCGCGTGACCTGGGAGGAAGGAGACCGCAGGTTATCACTTGGGTTTCAGATAATGTCTGTCGAAGTGGGGGAGAGCTCGTGAAGCCTGAATGAAGATCCGTATGTTGCTACGGCGTGAACGGAGAACAGGGCGGCCTCATAGAGCTTGAAATTCACCAGGAATGGATACAGAGGCAGGTAGTCTATGGGTGTGCATCGTGCAACCGCATGGACTGTTCGTTCAAGGACCCGGACCTGGATCCAGATGATGGCACAAGCTCTGGGGAACCGGCCGAAGAAATTGGTTAAGGAAAGTGGTGCCGAGACTTGACTACGAATAGCGTTCCGGGCGTGGTGACCCTCCCCTCTGGGCGCCTTTTGACGGTCAGTTCCAGGCACTAGACTGGCCGGGCGCCGCCCAAGCACCTCGTATAGGTACTCCGTACCCTAGGTGGTAAACACTCCGTCCCAACTTCAAGGTGTACGTTTGTTTATCGGTTGACATCACCCCGCACCAGGATCACCCTCCGGCGCCGTCGATCTCCAACCCTGCAACTCATGGCAATGCAGTTTTCAACTTTTCGATCCAAGCTCAAACACCGGAGCTGGCTACACACGCACTGAGTTTGTCATCAGACAATGACCCTTTGTACCCTTCGTCTTATACGCGGTACCTGAGACGCATGAGACAGCTTTCACACCTGTCGCGCCTATTTTAAGGCAACCAGGACTTCGAATGAATCAACTATTTCTGCGCCCAGTCGCCAGTAGGCATCATGGATGTCCCTGCAGCACGTCGGAGGGGGAATCTGTATGGCAAAGGCGCGAGAAAGGCCCGAGTACACGACATCTTTGATATCGCTGCGCAAACACCGGTCGAGAACCCGCCAACGTTGACTCCCTGTGCCCCAGTGCTTTCTCGACCCCGGCAAGCCACCAACACACCTCATATTCAGCTTCAGAATGAGTTAAGAGAAGCAGCCATAAATATTTCGGGCGATACAAAGGAGGATTCATCGGCTGGAACCGTCCCATCGCCTCTCATTGCGACCGAATCCTCTACTATGTTCGACCTACATTCCTCTGAGGAGGAGCCCACCTGGCTCAAACCTAAGCGCGCCTTGAAGAAGAGAAAGATAGCGTCCGTCAAGCCAAATCAACCGAGAAATGACATGCAGGTGGATAGAGAGTCCGATATCACCATGTCGAAGACAAAAGGACTGCGTATGCTGAACGAGAGTGCCAAAAAGAAGCTGCAACCCAAGTTGGTGAACGCGAACGTTGCGATTGAACATTCCAAATCAACAAATGTTGCTCGTGAACTGAAGCGACCAGCCAAGGGCGCCGCCAGTGGCAGATCGGCTTCTCCTGGCAAGCTTGTCCCTCCAAACGCATCTCATTCGCACCAACCCAACGTCTCCGGTGTCTCGTCTCTGGAAGAGTCAGATTCATCCACCAAATCACGACCGTCACGGAGGAGCACTCCGAAGAGGAAAAGACGTGCCTCAGACAACAGTCTTATGGTCTCGCCCTCTCCAAGTGATCTCCACCTGACTGCCCTGCGTCTGACACCTGATTCAAGCTCGCAAAGGTTGCATGTTTCATCCGAGGACGAGCACATGGGGGATTCCTCTAGTAAGCCTGCCAGGACAGGGCGAACTCGGTTAATTGACCGGCTGGACGCTCCAGGTGCCCAAAGCATCAACACATCCTCCCATACTCTATCACAAGAGCAACGCTCTAATCAACCAAATGATAGTGTTGCACCACTTGGAAAGGTTTCAGCAACTCGTCTTGCGAAGAACAATTCTGACCAAGAAGAGAAGCCATCCAGTGTCTCCGTTGCCGCTCCTTCAGGACGTCCTAGAGCCACTTATGCTAAGCAAAGGTCGTACTTGAGCAACATGGCCGACAGTTTGGAGAGCCTTTCGGCGCCAAACAGTCAGCCATCTTCACAAGAAATCTATTCGCAGGCTTTAAATTTCACCAGGGTGACGTCGCAAATGGAACTAGACAATGATGACAGTGATGAAGCTGAGCCTTTCAGCCGGATCAAAAGCATCCACGAGTTGAGACGCGGAGGCGCAATCAGAAAGTTCGACTTAGAACTGGATACCATCTTGGAAGACGTTGAATCAAGTTCCAAGTCACGACGCATTCCAGGGCTCCTGCAGCTTGTTTCCAAGTTGGACGAATTGTCTTTTCTGCGTCATTTCCAAGACTCCGGTGGCCTCCAGCGCCTCATGGACTGTGCGAACGCATCCTTAGACGAGGTCAGCGCGACGTTGATGGTTCTAGTTATCCATTGCATGGTTGTGGCCGAAAGTTCGTCGCCAAGGGTCGTCCTCCAGATGTTGAATGCGCTTTACAAGCTACCTCCACGTCTGGTTTCGGAACCTAGGTCATTAACCAAAGTTGCAAAAGACCGAAGTCAGAATCTGTCCAAGGTTCTTGTTAAGGACATTACGGAGTTTGAGGAGAAGAGGTCGAAAGTTTCGGGCCAAACCTGTGTGGCTGTTAACAGAACCATGCTTGGTTCTGTAGAATCTACTCTGCGAACTCTTATCGGCCTCAAAGAACCATTTCCGAAGCTGCCACGAGCACTCCTTGACGAGATTCTCTCGAACTTAGCCAAGGCGCAGGATATGGTTGAAGGCGGTGGCATGGCCAAACATTTAGAGACGATTCGACTTCTGCTGTCGTTGCTGGGGATTGCCTGTGCAAACCACGAGGTGACCGGGTCTCACCTGTCGACTGCCCGCATCACGGAACTAGGCGAGAGCGTGGCCAGTATCATGAAGGAGGCTCGTCAGGCCCAGCGGCAGATTGAGCACTCGTGCCTTCGGCTCATTGTTAGCTTGAGCAACAACGATGCGACGACTTGTGATGTTTTGGTTGACGGACACCTCGTTTGCGCCGTCTTTCAGGTCATCGACGACCGCTTTCTGTCGCTAGCAAGTCGTGCATCGCAGGAGCAAGAGATTGACCATGCGCAACTTGAATCTGTGATTCTGGCTGTTGGATGTCTTTTAAATTTCGCCGAATGCGCGGATTCAGCCAGATCGCGGATGTTGAGGTTGACGGCGAGCGGGAAGAATATGGTGGACGGGCTGGTGGACATATTTAACAGCCATGTTGACCAGACGTCGGAGGTACGAGTTCCTGATTAACACATGAAAAAGTCGGGACGCTGACGAGTGCAGGCCTTGACCATTGACCAGACTCAAATCCTGGTCGCCTTTGGCTATATATCCGCATTGCTATGCACACTGTGCCTCGATCCGACTGCACGCGAGCGGATATCACAATCCCTCAAAGGGAAGGGACTTTCGCCGCTGTTCGCAGCTGCGGACACGTTCCTCGATCATCTCCAGACTGTCGAAGCGGCCCTTGGGGAAGAAGGCGGCTCGTCAACGGGGTTTACAGAACGGTTTGCGGCGGTGCTCGAGACAGTGAAGCAGCATGACTTGCAATGAGCATACGACTTAGACTTACAACGTACGACATACGACTTTGGGTACAGGAAATGTTGGGACATGTCCACGAGTTGACATGCGGTGGGTTTGCATAGCAGAATTCGTTGATACCCCTGACAGTTGTGTGCTAGATAGGTATACATAGATGCGCACATATTTGCAAGCACGACGAGCTGATCGGAGTCCTGCACTGAGGGTGTCTTCATGTACTCGAGCTGTTTGACTCTCACATCGACGCTCGTGTCCATATCTGCCTCTCCATCGCCCTTCCACCTCGCCATATCCCGGAATTCTTGCGCCCATCTCAGGCCTCCGTGTCGCAAATGGAATGCCTGCCCCTCCCCTCGGACCCATCCTCGTACTCGCTCGTCACCATTGGCTGCGGGGAAGAAACCCTCTGTATGCATAGCGCGCCGGCCTCATGTGTTGCGACAATTCCCCCGCCAAACAAAATGCGTGCCGGTTGGTTTCTAGCGTTTGTTCGTGGCCTGAATTCCTCCGGGAGAAAATCAAACAAAAAAAAACCAGGCATTGCTTTCCATGACTTTCGCATGCTACGACCTCGCCAAATGTCGGTGAAGTTGGCGGCCTAGACCCTGACTCGTCGCGGAACTCACCTTGCTACAAGTTACCGCCCAGCAGATGTATAGCCTACACGCATACTGTACCGTCTCTTCCCGATCATCACCATCTCATCACTGACATCACGGAAGAGCGGCTCGTCCGCAGCTGGTTGCGAGAGACAAAAATATTAAACCTTCTTACCACTCGGTCTCGGTCCCGTTCAAGTTTCTCGTAAACCTTTGGGTAACTTGCAACTCCGCAGCAGCCCGTCATCATCCAGTTCTTATTACCTACTGAATTGCTCCATTTGGCTCGCCGCCTGTATTCCATCTGTTCCATTTCTTCCATGGCTTTACCCTGTCGGTCGCTTTCCCTCTGACGATCGTTTCTGACTTACCATTTTTCCCTCCCGATACGACTTTTGGCGCTAGAAGCGCAGCCGACGATTTTTCTGTGAACTAGGATCCGAGCTGTGTGCTGGGGCCCTGACGCCATCCTCTCGTTCCCTTTTGGAGAAAAAAAAGAGAAACACCTCAGATTCTGTGTCTAGCATGGCCCCTTCAGTCAAGCAGCGAAAGATCGCTATTCTGGGCAGTAGATCTGTCGGTCAGTCCCCTCCTCACGAGTCGCCAGTTATAAACGGGAAATGGTCCAGCCAAAAGGCAAGAAAATAGGACGATAAACTGACGTGTCTCTGTTCCGCGGCACCGCAGGCAAATCCTCCTTGACCGTCCAGTACTGCGAAGGACATTTTGTGGAAAGCTACTATCCTACGATTGAGAATACTTTCAGCCATGAGATTGTCTACAAAGGCCAGACGTTTCTCACGGAAATCATCGATACTGCGGGACAGGTATGATGCACCAAGCTGCGGGAAAAGGTGGCGGGGCCTCTTAGCGGGCTGACGGTCGGTTGGTCACAGGACGAATACAGTCTCATGAATTCCAAGCTGTATATCGGTATACATGGCTACCTTATTGTCTACTCGGTGGCCTCGCGGCAATCCTTTGACATGGTGAGGATTATCCGGGACAAGCTCTTGAATCATCTTGTGAGCCACCTTGCCAACCTCCCCCCAGCTCTATTGAGGGAGTCATGCTTACCTCTGCTCTCAGGGTGCCGAGTCGGTCCCCATTATGATTGTCGGCAACAAAAGCGATGTCGACGCAAAAAAGCAACGCAAAGTCACCGCTGAAGAAGGGCAAAAGCTCGGCCAGGAGCTCAATTGTGGTTGGATTGAGACCAGCGCACGGAACAACCACAATGTCGCCAAGGCATTTGAGATGATGATTGCCGAGATCGAGAAGTCGCAGGAACCGGACAAACCTGCTGGTGGAGGAAAGTGTGCGGTGATGTGAAGAGCAGCAATTGCACAACTTGGGCAGATCCTCAAGTGGCCTTCAAAACCATCTGGGGCTGTTTGATTTCGAGAAGTTCTTCTGGTTTCGGTTGTCTCAACACGTCGGGTCTGGTGTTCTTGTTGTTATGCTGTCGGCCTCCGTTTGCATTGGGAAATATCAGGATAGACACTGAGGCGTTTGTCTTTACCAGTGGGCGTTCATCTTGGATTTGTGTCAATCACTCTTGGAGTCGAGCGAGGAGGTGCGCGCCTCCCATCAGAGACCAGAAATAGTTAAGTGGCTCGAAGAGCGAGGGAGAATGCTTGCTGGGTCGGCTTTGCAAACTAGAGGTAAGAGATGAATTTCGCTATGAATTTCGCCAGCTAGGTAGGATAATATAACCCTGTACTTGATGTTCTCCATTCTGCAAGTCCCTTATTATAGATGGCGACTCTCAATTTGGCTGCTGCGCACTCAATGAAGTGGCCCATGTATGTCGGAGTGACTCACGAGGCTCCGCAGGTTTCGCGGGGTGAAGGGGGCACAACTTCGAACCTATTTTGTTCGAGGGTCGACCGCCTGCACCACACGTGCTGCTGAGAGGGCCGTCAACTTCCTACACAACACCTCAATTTCCAGTGCTTCCCTTGCTCCTGATCCTCTCGTAATCATGATCGAAGTGCAAGATCTCATTGTCTCGAGGTAAGACCATTCCCGCAACTGCAGCGCCGCAACTTGTCTCATCCGTCCAATAGAGGGGGAGATCCCAAAAAAGTGATCGAGAGCCTGCAAAAGCGATACGCACCCACCGAGATCGTTGACGAGGTCATTGCACTCTGGAACGACGCATATCAGAGTACGCGCCCTTCCATCTTTGGAGATCCGTCCTAACTCGAGGTTCCAGCGCGGTACAAGGCCAGCCAATTTGGCGCAAAGATCAATGCGGTCCAAAAAGAGATCGGGCAGCTGAAGAAAGTCGGTCGACTACCTACCTACGTGAAGATCTTGAGAACATTCTGGGACTGATGGAGTGAGTCGTATAGGCAAAACAAGATGCGGACCATCTGCTGCAGGAAAAGGTGAACTTGGAGAAAGAGAAGAAGCAGATCGAGGATGAGGCCGCGGAGAAGGAGAAGCTGAGAGACCGCAAGTGCAAAATGATTGGCAACTATGTGCACGAGTCAGTGCCGGTCAACGACAACGAGGTCAGTTGAAAGCATTCCACATCCTACGACTGGGCGAGAACGAAGACTCATTCGAAGGCCTAGGACTTCAATGAGGTGGTCAAGAAATGGGCACCTGAAGGCTTCACGGAGGAAAAGCGCGACTGTCTCTCCCACCACGAGGTTATGACCCGTGCAGAAATCTACGATGGCGAACGAGGCGTCAAACTGGTCGGCCATCGAGGGTACTTTCTACGGAAATGGGGAGTTCTGCTGAACCAAGCCCTCATCAACTACGGCTTACACTTCCTCGTCTCCAAGGGCTATGATCCACTTCAACCGCCCTACTTCATGAAGGCAGAGTACATGGCGAAGACTGCACAACTTGAACAATTCGACGAAGAGCTCTATAAAGTTATTGAAGACAAGGACGCAGAGGACAAGTTCCTCATTGCAACCTCCGAACAGCCCATATCCGCAATGTTTGCTGAAGAGTGGATGACCGAGAAGGATTTGCCAAAGAAGTTTGCGGGTTATTCTTCCTGTTTTCGAAAGGAGGCTGGCGCACATGGGAGAGACGCTTGGGGGTTGTTCCGTATCCACCAGTTCGAGAAGGCAAGTACTTTTCCTTCCATCCTCCAAGCGAGGTCCGCATGGCTGTGCTAATGGACATCCTCCAGATCGAACAATTCCTCTTTGTCAAGCCCGAAGAATCCTGGCAAGCACTCGAAGACATGAAATCCATTGCCGAAGAGTTCTACCAATCCTTGAAACTCCCGTACCGTGTTGTGGCGATCGTTTCGGGTGCCCTCAATAATGCGGCGGCCAAGAAATACGACCTGGAAGCGTGGTTTCCCTACCAGAACGAATACAAGGAACTTGTATCCTGCTCGAATTGCACGGACTACCAGACGCGAGAGCTGGAGATTAGGTACGGCCAGAAAAAGGGTGCCATCGATGCGAGAAAGACATATGTTCACGCTCTCAACGGGACATTGTGCGCTACAGAGCGGACCTTGTGTTGTCTGATGGAGAATTACCAGAAGGAAGATGGCTTCGAAGTGCCGGAGGTGTTGAGACGGTACATGCCTCCTGGGACGCCGGAAATCATCCCATACACAAAAGAATTGCCAAAAGATACGACCTCGGCGAAGACGAAGCAGCCAGCAAAGCCAAAGACTGGGGGTGCGCCTGAGGGTGGCCCCAAACGAGACATGCCGGCGGCGGACAATGTCGCGGATAAGATGAAGGACATGAAGGTGTGAGAGAGTGCAACGACAAAGGCTACGTATGACCTGACCTGATTTGACGAGCGACAAACACATGAGCTGTGACGGACAAAGGAAAGCATGCAAAAGAATGGGATTGCAAATAGACAGTCTCCCACCAAAGATGACTGTTAGCGTTGATACAGAGACAATAGAGTCATTGCGTAAAATACCTTGTCATGGTATTGATGCAGTCAAAGTCAGTCGCGTCAATCCGAGTCAGGGATCCTGTGCAACTTGAAAATCAACCGTTGTATTCCTGGACAAGAGGCTCCGGTGTAGGCTGCGTGGCTGTGCGTGTAGAAGTGCCAATATACCTGATTTGTTTAACCGTAGAGATATCTGCGCCGGAAGACAAGATGCTCCGCAATATTTGGCGCCAAGAAAATATTTCCGCCCACATACTGCGGTCCGACTGCGATGTCAAAACTTCTCGCCCTGCTCACTTACCGTCTCTACCTAATTCCACCCACCATCAGCAACGTTTCTTTGTTGCCTTCAATCGGACCCAGACAGCTTAAATCTGCGACAAGCCACCAGTCGCAATCATGGCTGTTGGAAAGTAAGTCCAGCCCGCTGCCCACGAGCCATTTGTGCACTCGGCGCACAACGCGGGGAGCGGTAACTCTGAAGAGATCAAGAACTGACGATTTCTTCTCCTTCCCAGAAACAAGCGATTGAGTAAAGGAAAGAAGGGGTTGAAGAAGAGAACGCAGGATCCCTTCACCCGGAAAGATTGGTACTCGATCAAGGCTCCGTCCACATTCAACCAGCGAGAGTACGTCCTCCCAATGTGCCCCCCTCCAAACAACACCACCGGCGCGAAAGATGGAAAAAAAAGATATCACAACCACATATTTGTTAGCTTGGAGGAGACATGCATTGACATTTCTGTGCTCATAGTGTCGGCAAGACCCTCGTGAACCGCACCACCGGTCTGAAATCCGCCAACGACGCCCTCAAAGGCCGCATCTTCGAAGTCTCGCTCGCGGACCTGCAGAATGACGAAGACCACGCCTTCCGCAAGGTCAAGCTCCGGGTCGACGAGATCCAGGGCAAGAACTGCCTGACCAACTTCCACGGATTGGACTTCACCTCGGACAAGTTGAGGAGTTTGGTGCGGAAGTGGCAGACGTTGATCGAGGCCAACGTCACTGTCAAGACCACGGACGACTACCTTTTGAGACTGTTCGCCATTGCCTTCACCAAGCGCCGGCCCAACCAGATCAAGAAGACCACCTACGCCGCCACCTCGCAGATCCGGGCCATTCGCAAGAAGATGACCGAGATCATCCAGCGCGAGGCCACCAGCGTCACCCTTGCTCAACTCACCGGCAAGCTCATCCCCGAGGTCATCGGGCGCGAGATCGAAAAGTCCACCCAGGGCATCTACCCGCTCCAGAACGTGCACATCCGCAAAGTCAAGCTGTTGAAGGCTCCCAAGTTCGACCTCGGTGCCTTGTTGGGCCTGCACGGCGAGAGTGGCGAGGACGATCAGGGCCGCAAGGTCGAGAGGGAGTTCAAGGAGCCTGCACCTCTGGAAAGCGTGTAAGCTGGGGGTTGCATAGGGGTACGTTGCGTGGGAAAAACCCTGTTGGAGAGAATAGTGGAGACAAACCCCAAGAAAAGAGCAGATGACCTTGGAGGCGAAAGAACGAATCAAAACCACGGCAAGCATATGTGAGAGACTTGATGAGCCCAGGAGGGGGCCCCCAATTGCCGAGGGGGAGGCGCTCGCTTCTGTCCCATGGTTTTGCGAGAGCCTAGCTGGGGATCACCATAGCCTCAGGACGGGTTCGAGCAAAATGAGATGAGAGACAGTGTGTGAGAGCCTGCGTGGAAGGGAGGTTAGGTACTAGTTGCACTTCCAGAGTGGCTCTCGGTCGCTTGCCCCCCCATCTTCGGCGCACATGAAGAACAGACAGGCTGGTGCTGTGGAAGGGAAAAAAGGGTTCATGCTAGATCAACTGGGCATCGGGCATAAAGGACATAGCATTCTAGTTGTAAGGGCCCTTGACCACACACAGAAGACCAAAAAAAGAATTCATCAAAAATACTTCCATAAACCAAACGCATGGCAATTTATGTTGGTCTCTGTACGGTATTGGAACCGGTACTCTCACCTCGCCCCTCTCCCCTAGCCTGGTGTTGGTACATCTACAGATATGGAGAAACTCGATCTATTATTTCCTTTGACAAGGCCGCATTGCGTTGTGCCCTTTGTCACGTCTCACTTGCTAACTTGCTCGTGGTCAATGGAATATAAAGTGCCCCCCTGTTGCATTCCCCTTCTTCATTCGTCCAGTCTTTGTCTTTTTTCTCCTTGGAAAAATAAAAGGAAAGCATCTGTCCTACGTAGGGGGCTGGACTACGTAACGTTTACGTCTCGCCGTCGACGACGCGATCGACCCACTCGACGAGGGCGCTGCGAAACTCGTCAAACTTCTCACTCATGACCCAGTGGCCGCAGTCCAGGTCCAGCAGCTCGAATTTGGGGAAGAACCGGCCGATCACGGGCAAGGTCTCGTCGGCCACGTAGTGGCTCTTGGTGCCCCGGGCGACGAGGGTCGGGCCCTTGTACTTGTGCGTGTCGGGGTCTTTGAAGGGGAAGTCGGCCATGTCCGGCAGGGATTTGGCGAGGGTGTGCAGCGGGATGCGGAACCGGAGCTCCGTGGTGGTGTCGTGCTTCTCTTTGCCGTGTGATGATGATGATGATGATTTCGGCTCGTGCTGCGATCCGTGGACGGGCTTCTTCTTGACCAGGTTCGTCAGCAGGAACTGCCGGATGGCCAGGTCCGGCTCGTATTTCATGAGGATCTTGTCCGCGTCGCTCTGCCTCGTGGGGCGAGGTCTCGTCTCGTCAATCTCCCTCATCGCCTCGAGGTATTTGCCAAAGTCGCCCTTCAAGGCCGCGTCCACGGGCGCATTGTCCACGGGCACCAGCGCCGAGTAATTTTGAGGTCGGCGCAGCGCGAGCGTCATGGCGACTTTGGCGCCCATGGAATGGCCGACCAACGTGGGAGAGGTGATCTTGTGGGTGGTCAGGAAATGTTCCACGTCCCGCGCCATGGCCGTGTACGTGTGCACGGGCGAGTGGGGGGAGTCGCCGTGGTTGCGGAGGTCGATGGTATAGACCGGGCGAGAGAGATCTTTGGCTAGCGCCCTACATAGTTTATATTAGTTAACACCCTGTTTAACACAATTAAAGGGAAGCATGAGCGAGGTGCGTTCCTTACTTACTCAGAGTCCGATTGTTGCGCTGCGACCCGAACAGCCCGTGCATGATGATGATCGGACCGGGTCCCCTGGTACTCGTCTTCTCGGGCGGGTTGTGCCGGTGGAACGCCAGGTCGACGACGTCGTCGTGCTCGTGCTGGTGCTCGCCATGGGTGCGGAGACGCGAGCGCGAAGAGCTTGAGAAATGGCGCCGCCGCGACGACAAGGGCACAGTAGTGCTCGTCCGCCCTCGAAGAGCGCTGCTGGTGCTGGGGAGCGGTATTCGCCGCATTTGGCAAAAGCTTGCGGCTCGAGAATGGGGGTGGAATATGTCTTATTGTCTTTGCGGATGTCTCCTCATGCTTGGGAGAGGTGGTGCGCGAGCTAGAATGCAGTTGGTGCGAGGTGAAGCTGGTGTTGATACATTGGAAAAGTGACAAGGCAACAAAATTTGGCTGCGGGATGACGTCGGATTCCGAGCCTCGCAGCCTCGCAGCCTCGCAGCCTCGCGGTCCGCAAAAGTCACCCCAGAGCCTCTCCCCATGGAAACCCCCAGCCTTGTCGCCGTCCTTGGGCAGTTGTCGCAATATCCGTGCTCCATGCATCCCAGGAAGGTGTTTCCAATAAGATCGGTAGTTCTCAGGTCTATAGTTACAGAGGAGCTCGGTCCAAATGACCTGCGGCGCCGTCTCCTGCAGGTCTCGAGACTGCCATGTGGACGAGCATCACGACTTGCCTTGTTTGACAGGCTGTAGAGGCGGAGTCTCTCCCTGATCGAGGGCCGGGTCATCACCTCTGTCGGGCAGCTCCTCGTCAAACCCCACGCCCTCTCCTCCTTCAGAATCAAACGGATTAGACTCGATGTTCAAGTCGGTGCCCAGGTCCTTACGCGCGGCTTGTCTCCGCCTCTCCCGAATCCTGGTCGCTTCCTCTTCCGAGAGCGTGACCCCGAACAGTCCCAGCGCCTGCTGGACTTCGTCGAGGGTCATGCGGGCTTTCCGTCGCGCCTTTGCGCCGCCCCACTCGATTTCGTCGCGCAGCCTGCCATTGCCATTCCCGGAGGAATCCATGAGGGCGAGGAAGTTGTCGCGCACGCCCCTCAGCGCAAGAATGATCTCGTCCGCGATCATCTCCTTGAACGCTCGCATGCTGACGTTCTCGTTGTCCTTGGCAATGTACTCGCTGGATTCTCGAGACTCGGTCACGTGTCGTAGTATCTCAACCAGGTTGGATACCCCTGGCCGCCGTTCTGGGTTGAAGGAGATACCAGGCTCTGAATCTGTGACGGCGCCCCGGAGCTTGGCGTGGATCTCCTCGGGGCTGTCGGTGATCAGAATTCGAGATTTGGGATCAGGGTCAGACTTGGACATCTTCTGCTCCGGACGCTTCAGGGACATGATCCTTTTGGCAGGGGCTGGCGTTGTGTCAGTACCTCTAACGTATCATGAGGTCCGCTCGAAATCCTTACATATTACCGGCCAAGGTATTCGAAACACATTTCCCCCGGAGGATTCCCTGACCAGGGCATTGAATCCCCTGGCCAATGTGCGCGTAAACTCAATGTGTTGGAGTTGATCTTCCCCAACGGGCACAATAGACGGCCTATCTGACGTTAACCTCCAATACAACAAGTAGACCACGAGTCTGACTGACTGATAGAGTAATATGTCGGCCGCTTGAAGAACCGGGTATGAAAACAGTCCGAGCTTGAGCTTCGCCGTTGCCTCATCGCTTTCGAGGCTGGCATTTTCAGGCAAGTTCAACTTGCTCTACAAGCTGCGGTTTTAGTCTCTTTCTGCCGGGCCATGCGTCTAGAACTGCTGCATACCTTCCACTGAGTCATTCTGGACAGATACCCCGTAGAAGCAATGGTACTCAAAATCCACATCAACGAGGCGTGTTGCGGAACCTGTTAATCCGGTAAGCTAATGTCGAACCCGCGGTGACACGCAACGGTGACCTACATCGGACTGGAAGAACAGCGTAGTGTTCCTGTTGTTGTGCAGGCCCAGAGCAAGCAAGGCTGCATAAGACTCCTTGCGTAGACGCAGGCGCTCGGTCGGTGGAGTGTCGGAAGTCAGAGCGTGCAGGTCAACCACCGAGAAGTACTGCTCATAACGGTAATTGATGGCGAACTTTGGGTCGGTGGATTGATCATGGAGCCGTTTCCACTGCCGCAAAGCCCCCAGATAGTTTCCGAGGTGAGGGACCCCCGTAGGCTGAATCCCGGAGAAGGCTCGTCTGATGCTGGAGGACGGCGACATCCGCGCCCAGTGCTGCTCTATCTCATCTTTTCCATCCTGTTGCGTTGCTCTGGGTGGTGCATCGCGCGCCGCCGACTTGATGATCCGAGGCTGCCTTTCCTCGCCCAAGCGCACCCTTTTGACGGGAGCAAGCTCTGCCTCATGGCTGATGTTGCGCCATTGGATCTTCTGGGAATAATGCGGCCTCAGTGACACATGCACGAGGCCTCGGGGCATTTCACAGGGTGCCAAAGGAATGTACGCGTTCCAGAGAGAACGCCAATCGAAGACACGATTATACAAGTAGTGCTTGAAGAGAAAATGTTGTCGAAACGAAGTCAGGCCATGGATGGGCAAGGATGGGTTCAGTAAAATGTTGTGACCGAGATGGGAAGTTTCAAGGCGCCGCTTTTGTCATTGACCGGCTCCACAACTTATGGGCCGTGCCAAGACTCATACCTCCTTACTTAGTACTCCGTGTGGATTCAGCCTTGTCGCTCTCCGTCCTACGAGTGGCATAGCCATCGCGAGTACCCGTGGTGGAATCGTGGTCAATCGGGTCATGCAGAGCGCGGCACGCCAGTATATTTATTGGATATTTCTCTATGTCGCTTGTCACATCACATTTTGTTGCAAGATACAAGCACGAGAATGATTTGAAAGGACCCCTAGCCCAACACCGGCACGAATCCAACCAAGCCCGAGGTAGCGAGAACTAAAAGGTGAACTGTGGCTAGCACTGTAGCTCAGCCACTGTCTATCAACATCCTCAGTACCTTTCAGCCTTCGAGAACATCCTTCCAATTGCCTAGGCTTTTGACCATCTTGCTTTGATCAGATCAGCGGCCTTCTCGCCAATGCCATACCTGCTACGTGTCAGTATCAACCCGGAACACCTTGGGGGGCAGGTCTTTCATACGCAGGCATCTGAGTGTGGCCACCGTGAAGAGTGGGCATCACGCTGGTGTCAGCAACGCTCAGGCCTTTGACTCCGCGGACCTGGAGAGTCGCATCAAGCACTGCCGTCTTATCGTCATCCCGGCCCATCTTGCAAGTCCCTGCGGCGTGATAGCAAGTGGTGGCCTCCTTTTGGACATGAGGCACCCATTCTTCTCGTTTGGTGTACGCATGATGTGTCAGATCTAGGATGTGGTCAGGGAGTTGTCTTCCCGGTAGAGAGCGGCCGACTGTGTACGCACCTGATGGCCACGCTCCTTTCACAATCTCCTCTTTGGCAACCTTGTTCAGGTTCATGGCAATCTCGTTGCCGAGCCTGCAGCCCTCGGATACGACGAGCATGTCGAGTGGATCGGCGAGATAGTTGCAATCCACCACCGGGTTTTCGAGAGGGTCTGTGGACTTTAGCGTCACTGTTCCCCTCGAACGGGGCGAGAACAGCTCGGTGATCATGGCAAAGGCGTGCTTCTTGTCTAAAGGCATGTTCGTCAGCCCGTGGCTACAGCAAGCATTTTCTCTCTCTCTTGGACTCACCAATGGGAAATTGATCATATTGCTTGGGACCGCCATACAACTTTGACCTTGTCAGCAAGGCAGATATGCTTGAATCATTGTCGGATACTCACCTCGGTGGTGAAAAACTCCACGTTCGGCTGCTTGGGAGTCAGACCCATGGGGTCACGGCCGGGCTGCCTCTTTGCTTCCTTCCACAATGGCTCATCTTTCAGGCGATCATCTAGCCTCGCAAATGCCATGGCACCAAAGGGGAAGGTGGAGAGGACCCCTTCCTTCTTCTCCTTGTATAGCATATATGCAGCCATTGCAGCGTCTCCATGATACCTATCGAATGAGTCAGGGAAGTTTGCAGTCAAGGGAGGAGAAGATGCCGTACACCAGATGGTCGTTGGTCAGTCCGTCCTTGGTCACCTCGTAAAAGGCAAACACGATCTGTGGCCAGTCAGCCATTAGAAGCTAGAAATCCAAACACAAGAGCCACCTACAAGATGATCCAGCAAGTTCTTTCCCACGCCTGGAGAGTCGACGAGACACTTGATGCCTAATGCTTCCAACTCAGCCTTGGGACCAATGCCTGATCGGAGAAGAATTGCTGGGGAACAATATGCGCCTTTGGGGGTCTCATTAGCTGTTTTCATCAAGACGTTGGACAAGTTGAGCTAATCACCTCCAGAGATAATGATTTCCTTTCTAGCCCTGACTTCTCTGCTTGTGCCATCCTTGCCGACAAGCACCACACTTGCGGCCTGCAATTGACCATCCTTCTCCTCAAAGTTGACCTTGTCCACGACAGTGTCAAGCACGAGGTCAATGTTGGCCTTGTGTTGATCCATGGTGATAAAGTCCGCTCCGGTAGATCTGATGCCCTTGTAGACTTGCAAGCCCAGCGTCAGCATCAAACGCACCACAGGATACTTGGTTAGTGGTCCTCACCAGTCCGTGGTGCATGACCGCAGCCATGAGGGGTCTCGCCGTTGCTGAACATGTCGTGTACTAGCGGGAAGCCCATATCTTGCATGCTCTCCAGCAACAGGTTCGAAATGGGAGCATTGTCGTGCGGCTCTACATGGAGCGGGCCATTGTAGCCGTGGGCTTTCTCGTCCACCTGAAACCACGGCTTGGTATGGAACGTCTCGGCCTTGATTCTCGTCATCAGCCTGTGTGTCATTCTATGCTGGATGGGGCTTCCCGAACCTTGCGCATGTACTTGAAGAATTCTTCTCCGGACCACCCTGGGAGACTTGAATGATTTGAGTTGAGGCTCGGGACCGCAGCATTGAGGAGTTCTTACTTCCAGTCGTCATAGTCTTGCTTGCTGCCTCGGACACACAGCGTACCGTTGACGCCGCTGCTGCCTCCCAGGAATTTTCCTCGGCTGAGTTTGACTTCTCTGCCGTTGATTCCCTTCATGGGTGGAGTGACCAGGTTCCAGTCGAGCGGTCCGTCGAAATTCTTGGACCAGCCGCCCGCCATGTGGACGTTTTCGAGGTCTTTGTTGTGAGGCCCGGCCTCGACCACGAGGATCCGCGCATTGGCATCTTCGGCCAGTCTGCCTGCGACGACACAGCCTGTTGTGCCGCCGCCGCTATGGGTCCGAGAGAGTTAGTCATGACAACGACTCACTCACTCACTCACTATGGGCTGGGTACTCGGTTACACTCACCACACTATGAAGTCGTACTCATTGTCGTCGACTATCCGACCTGGAGACATGATGGACAATAGACACAGGAGTTAGATTCAGCCTTGAAAACAAGAGATCAGTAGAACTCGATGTGACAGACAGCGCATTGTGCTCTTGGTTTGGACGGCAGGCTTATGCATTCTAATATAGACGATTCTCAGAACGCAATCTGACAGCCGTGGAATAATTCCACGATCTCTAGGGGTGAAGACACTGGATCGGGTGGACGTGACTCTTAGCTCGACGCAACCCCAGTCAACCGCTCCATATATTACCCTATCCCTGAGGTTAGCAACAGCGGCAGGGATCCATTAGGCCGGTCAAGAAGGGTTTCCCCGCAAAAGAACGAAAGGTTGTACATAGTTAGGCTCACTAGGCTGATGTGGAGATGCAGATAGTTGGGCGTCGCGGAACAAATTCCCCCTTGACGCTCGGCTTCAAAGGTGCCATAGGGTCTGTCGTCTGTATGCCACAACAGGCCAGCAATAGGTATCGATCAATCAGAACTGGCAGCATTGGTCGAGCGCGGCTGTCCACAGGTGAGATGCGCTGGAATCATTTAGGGCTGACTAGCTTGCTCAGCCTCGTGCGTTTTGCTATAATTAATATGTTGTTCTCTCGAATGGATATCCAACTTTGGTGTTGTGATAGTGTTATCGATAGTGTCATCAAACGAGCGTCATATCACAACCACGTATCCCTTGCCACGCACTGCTTGCTACATTGGAACAGGAAAAAAGGGGAGACAAAGAACAAAGACCTTACCGGCGTCTCTCCGGCTCACTGCTGCAAGGAGTCATGTTGCATCAGCTATTATGACCGATAGCCCACACCCACTGTGGATTGATCAGGTAGGTATTCAACGCCCGACTCCGTTCCACGTACCGAATACCGTTATCCCTTGCAGAGCCTGGCGACGTGATTCGACCATATATTATCTATAGACGGATACGGGATTGCCTTAGTCACTTACATTAACGCAGCCCCATGGACGCGCCACATCGCATCCTGAAGTTCACCTCCCTCATCCAAAGTCAGCAATGGCTTCACCCTGTACAAGTAACAAACACTATTCCCAGTATGGAGAGATGTGGATAGAGGCGTATCGGGCTACAGTCTATGTCCGCGGACATAATAGGTGTGTTAATGCACGAAACCGGCATGTCTGCCCAGGGAGCCTTGTCCGTATATTGTATCATCATGTCTGTCCAGGCCCCAGAAAAGAAGGCATGTAACCCTGTCATTATTTACTGATGGGCCGCCTACGGCTGTCGAGATGATGGGCCTGGTCACAAGAGAGGACGATGCTGTGTCAGCACAGTGTCCCTCCGGCGGTGTGGTCTGAAGAGCCGGCTATCAAATGTGTCCATAAGCTCGGGGAAACCCCCAGGATTATGGATCTGTATGTGGGAAGCATCGAGTCCAGCTCGAGATCGACCCGTGCTCTCTCCTCTTGCAGTTCTCACGAAGCCCCGAATGTCGTGGGCGCGGAACCGTGAGAGAGGCCAGATCTAAGCCCAAGGCGTCTGGAAGAGGAACGGTACCTTGCTGCTTGTATTATTGGACGGCTTGCATGGTTTCATCGGGTTTATCGCTAAACGAGCCGTTATTTGTACACCTATCCATACACAACGGCATTCTCTAACACTCACCCTGAATGTGAGCAGTCAGCAATGCAGTCAGTCTTCAGGGGGCAAGAGTACTAGGGCGAGGACAAGTGATGGTCAATCCACAGGTCGGCATTCTTGGATTGTGCCTCCTGCCTCGAGAATATACATGTACACGCCGCAAAATCTCACTCACACCGCGGCTTGGTGTGAGTATTGGCACAATTTTGGAGCCCACTCGTGGCGTTCGAATCTCCTTCACATCCTTTTGATGGTTCGGACGATCCCATCCGTCCATCACCCTTTCTTACCAAGGATCTTCAGTCGTCCTGCTCTTCTCTCGAACCTCACTCATGCCAACGCCCTCCCGCCTGTGTCCCTGCCTCTCCAGTAACCCGAGCAAATCGTTCTTCTTGCCCGCCGTCTTGTTGAAACCGAACAGGCGCAACTTACTATCGAGTTCTTTCTCGAGAGATGTGAAGTCGTGGTCCATTTTGGAGGCAACGTCTGTTGAAAAACATATATCAGCAAAAGCCACCGCAGCAGCTAAAGGAGAAAAGAAGGGGACAGTCATGAAAGTGTAACTTGAAGACTTACCGACGCCTTCCCAACCCCACAGGTTCGCTTTCATGCCGACTCCATAAAACTGCCATTTTCTCACAAACGCCAACCACGTCTCCACCACTTCTGGATGTCCATCATACACCGTGATCAATCTCTTCATGGTGATCCTCTCAAAGTTCTCCTGCGCTTTTTTATTGACAAAGTTGCTTTTGAGAACCGTCCATCTTTCGATCTTTTTCGGGAGCGGCGTGGGACCCCTACAGGGCAGGGATAGATAGTAGGCGACGCGGACGCAAAAGTCGGCGAAGAACTCGAGGTTGCGTGTGCTGAACGAGCGGAGTTGGAGTTGGCACACCGGGATGCCGTGGGTTGTAGGGTGGTAGAGCGGGGTGCGGTAGGCGGCGAGGACATTGGGCGGGACGTTTGGTTTTGTACTCTCATCTCCCGGCGCGGGAGCGGCCGTCTCAGACGAAGAGAGCTGGGGCGTGGATGGCGAGCTTCTGGTGGCTTTGGGGGTTGACTTTGTCGAGGGCCGTGGTTGCGCCTTTTCCTGTGCTCTTGACGGAGTCGATGCCGACGTCTGCTGTAGTTCCTGGGCTTGAGTTTCTGACACCAGGTCCGGCTTTTTCTTTGACCGCTGTATCGAAGTCGGTGTATGCTTAGCCTTGGCCGTTGGTGCCGCAACGTCATCTGCTCTCTTGCCCTGTTTGACCGGTACTCTCTCTTCCTCGTAGGCCTCCTGGATTGTATACGATCCGATTTCTGGTGTTGGGAAGCCCGCTGTGATATCAATCGGTCCCGTCTCTAGAGATTTGTCTTTACTGTCCTTTTCATGCTGGGGTGTACTTGAGCAGAAGGCCCGTATCGACCGTTGTGGATGGGATGGAGCTGAAAGACGAGGCCGAAGGGGAACAGTTGTGTTCTAGAGATGGAGCACACCAGTCAGTGAATCGGGACATGTTTGACCAGTATAGATTGCTGCCATCTGAAGACTCTCCATACCTTCTGAGGGCGGCATGCTTCAATAGCTATGCGAAGACATCGTGGCGCCGACATCCTTCCAATCGATGTCTTTCGAGAGATCCTGGTGGGCAGTAAGATCCCCACACACCAGACTCAGTGCCTCCCAGCAAGATGCCCTCTCACGCAACCTGCTGTGATGTTGTTTCGTACTTTGGCAACTCCAGCATTGGGTTTGGAGAAACGTCGCAAGACGCGCGATTCGGGCTCAGAAAAGTTTCAATGGTTTGCCGGAGCCGACGAGAAAAGCCCGGACGAGGCGCCGCTTTAACGGGCGGTTTCCATACCTACCTTGCATTGATGGAACTTGCATACATTTAACAACCGGCTGCGGGTGTCGACGATGAATTTGGATAGATTGACCTCAGACATGGTCATTGAAAATGGGATCTGGGTTTGTTCAGGAGGCATGAAGCCAGGCTACCGGAGACGCAGCTGAGCGACAGTACATTCTGTGCAGCATCCGCTCGACACATCTATCTGTTCGTAAAATGAAAATTGATGGCGAGAAACGCTTTCTATTCAGTCATGGCTCTCTTTCCAGTGTATGAGATCTGCCTACGATCGAGCACGTCAATCTCAACCACCTGATTAATCTCCAAGACTCCCCAATAGAGTTGCACTGGGCACGAAAAAGGTCGTCCCCGTCAACGGCGTCGAGTAGTCCAGAATGCGATCATGCAAGCCAGGTGGCGAACCGACAAACATGCGGTCCAGCATCTGCTCAATCACCCACAGCTTCCTCGAATACCCGATAAAATAGGTGCCAAATTCCCCTTTCCCCGGTTCGCCAAAGGGCATGTTGTCCCTCAAGATCTGCATCTCAGACCCGTCATCGCCCGTGATGTTGGCTAGTTGCTTGTGCGCCTTTTGTTTGTCCTCAGCTACGTCGTCCAGCTCGATGTTGTCGAGCTTCGTGCGCCCAATGATCGCTTCCTGCTGCTCTGTAGACAGGCCTCGCCACCTCTTCAAGTCGTGCACGTACTTCTGAACGACAACGTAGCTGCCGCCCGCAGAGCCGGCGTCGTCCACCTCCGTCACCAGAACTGACTCATCGACAGAGGCGCCTACAGGGTTTGCCGTGCCGTCCACGAAGCCCAGGAGATCGCGGACGTCAAAGTAGCGGAAGCCAACGGTGTCATCCTCGACCTTGACACTATCGCCCAATTTATCCATCAACTGGCGCTCGAACTCGAAGCACAGATCACGCCGCTGTGCCCGGATGTGAAACAACAGGTCCCCGGGCGTGGAAACAGCCGTGTGGACTTTGCCAGAAATGGTTGGGAACGGATGCAGCTCAGCCGGTCTGGGAACCCCCTGGAGGAGACGGTCCCAGATATTGCTACCTATGCCAACGGTGCACGCAAAGGCGGCGTCCAGATCGCGAATAGCAACGTTCTTGGACAGATCGTCAACGCTGGCCAGCGTCGACCGCACCGTCTGAACGGCATCGGGCTTATCAGTCACAGAGAGGACGAGGAACGTTGCCGACTGGGTGAGTGGTGCATCGACTCGTTGGGATTCTATGGGCGTACGGCGGCTCATCTTGGTTCTGGGTGTTGTTGTGGACAGTCCGGCGGCTTGTGCTTGGTCGAGCAGAGATTGTGAAAAGGGCTTGCGGGTGGTGTGATAGGACATGGATTGGCCCAGCTCTTTGCCGCAGCCCAGGGTTGTCAATGTTGCTCGTGCGGCTGTCCTCGTTGCCTCTGAAGTCGGGTACCTCGAAACCCAGTATCTAAGGAACCCGCTGCTAACACCCCGTGCGACCTTGTTCGTATTCATGCCACAATCGAGCCAGAACAGAACAACAGCAATCCTACATTGACGCTGACCAATATAATATGCAGGTACTCGGTACAAGCTCCAGAAGAGATGATTACTTTGTGCTGGCCATCATTGGCTGCGACGCGTGAATGATCTGCCTCAATGAGGCCTGTCTGATGACTCAGCTTGCAGCGCGTGGAGCTCGCGCGAGGCTCGTCGTGCACAAAACCCCGAATGGTCACGCCACAAACTAGATGGATGGAGTGGCATGTGGTCGCCAGAAGTCGAGACGAGCATTCTCATTGCATTGCTGCTAAACTATCTAGGGCCTGTTCTCGAGCACCGTTCGGCTCCTCCAAGATAACAGTCCCCATTACTCTGTCATACAATCCCATATCGTCATAAAAGGAAGGGCATAATAACAAGTCATAAACTCTTGACATCATAGCAAAGTTGTCTCTGTAGGTGTTCCAATGCGAGACCCAACCGGATGGGGCTCAGTCACAATCAAACCAGGCACTCATAGCCCGTATGCAAACCACAGGGGAGCCTGAAAGAGCTCTCACCCTTCTTGGATCCAACGACACAGTGGTATCACCAAGATAAGAAGACAGTGGACATGAAGAGTTCCTCCACCCGACCATATGTGGTTGAGTGAGTATCAACCAAGTTCATTAACACATCAGAAGCGTGAAGTAAAGCTGCGACCCAAGGACGGTCGACGTGCATGGTCAGTTGATGTGGTGGCATTGGCTTGCGCCGATGTGCCACCAATTTTCTCAAATCCTTGAAGAATATCGACACCTTCATCGTTGTCATCGGAGTTGTCGTTCTCGAACGACTTGAAATCAAACAGATCATCTTGTGCATCGAAGAGGGAGCCATGTGTAGTTGAGGCTTTCAATGGCGAGCCGGTTTGTGTGGCCCGCACGCGTGGAGGTAGAAGAGAACCACGGGTTGGCGTCTTTGTGTTGAGCTTCTGAGCACTGCCAAGCACGTCGGTAAGAATATTGGTAGAGGTGGCTGAGCGACCATACGTTGGGCGAGAGACAGATCCTTTCAAGGGTGACGACGCACATATCGGCGTGCCCGGAGTGAGACCAAGGACAGAATCAGAAAATATCTCGAAAGATTGTTCCTCAGGGAAGGTAGAAGACGCTGGGATGCTCGTCCATCTGAGGGGACTGTACGTTGCCTCTTCCAACAAAAAGAGCCCAGAGCTTTTAATGGGTGAGTTTGCAAACTCGCGCATCGCTTTGCGATGTAGGAGAAGCTGTGTGTTTGGAGAGACTGAAGGGGGAGGGCGAGCGGGTTTCTTGAAGACAACAGCTGGAGTCATCGGATTCTGAGCGATCGTTGGGCTGACGCGGACGGGAGACGACAATTGCGCCCCTTCCGTCGTTGATGGCCGGAATCTCGCATGGCTTGGAGTTAGATCATGCGAAGAGCTTCTGATTCGCACAATCTCCTCTTCGGCACGACCTCTCTTCTTCCTCATAGGCTCGATGTCCAGCTCCGAGGTGAGCATCACGGCATTCTTGTTTGGCCGCAGCGCAGACGACTCAATGGATGAAAAGTATCCGCTGTCGTCGTTCTTGGTAAGACTTGGGTTCTGTCGATGAGATACAGATGGGCGTGACTGCCGTGCAGAGGGGGAAGAAATAGCTCGCTGATGATGCGGTACAACTACGGGCGGTGATGAATTGATGGCATCCGGAGGAGACGACTTTGCAGCTGTGGCCACGCCACTGTCATCAAACTCCGCGGTCTCGTGCTCGTTCAAAGCGGGGTCTGAGGCAGGTAGAGTAGCATCTGATGAGAGTTCTGGAAGAGCAGGAGCGGTCTGAGGTCGAGGGGGTTCGCTAGATTGACCAAGGAAGGGATTCGGCGCCAACGCATCCGAGAGCTGTTGAGCAATCTTCTGAGGCTCAGAACGCATCACATTGGCATTGATGGTCATGTGGGTAATGTTGGTTCCTCTCCGACTTTTGTCTTTGACGAACTGCGACTCCATTCCCGGCTCAATGACCCAATAGCTTCCCTTCCCAGCATCTCCCTTGGGCCTCTCTTGTTTAGTAAAAGCTTTGTGCAAGGATAGGTTATGCCTGATACTGTTGTGCCAGCTTTGCTTGGTGTCTTCGCGGTAATAGGCGAAGGTAGTTGAGATCCAGTCATAGATTTGTGCCAGAGTCAGCCGCCGATTTGGTGCTCTAAGGATAGCCATTCCGATCATCTGAGCATAGCTGTAAGCAGGCTTGTTCCCGTCATCCTCTACCGGAGGCATATCTTCCGGGTCAGGTAGTTGGAAGACGGATTCATCGTCCGGTCGAGGCTTCTTGAAAGGACGATCGTTCGTCATCTGCGCTTCTGAGTATGATCGCTTAAGAGGCTGCTTTCGTACGTATGAGGGTTCTGGGAAGTCAACAAAGTTATCTTGCGTAGTTGTGACACCGAAATTTTCTTGGTCATATGTGTCGAGTTTTATATCGAAGGTAGTGAACATTGGCTGCGCCATTTGAACGGGACGATATTGCTGGCTGCTCGGAAGCGCGTGTCTCTTCGCCGGCGAGTCAGTGTAGATATGGTTAACCGTCACAGGCGGAGGGATGGGAACATAGTTCAGATCTCCAAAGTAGGGTGGTGCAGGGGATAACGGTGTGCTCTTGAGAGGCGACATCTGTTGGCCGGGTGCCATTGGAGCATTGAGGATGACCTCTGGGCGTTGGTGAGGAGCCGGGGGGTTTCTGAGTGGCTGCAGAGGCATGGCTGAAGGTTGCAGACGCGGTCGAGGTCGGTTGATATGTGAGATATTGTTTGAGGGAATCGGCATTGGATCTTGATAAATCTGCACAAACGGGTGCTGACGCGTCGACGCCATGGCGAAAAGTGATGCAGAGTATTCAAAGATACAGGACAGACCGAGTGTATGGAGAAAGTCGCGTGAAAGTGAAGTGCACAGGTTCCATTAACCGATTTTTGAGGTTGACCAAAAGGGTGCGGCTGAGATTGGTCCAGAGCTGCCAACCCGGAAGAGACGGGCAACTGGCACTTTTTGAGAGCAGTCTCGAGCTGGGCGCAAGGGCGTCAAGAGATTCAATCCTCGAGGCTAGGGAGGTGGATGGAGGTATGAGCGTGTCTGTGCGGGAGGGGCGCGGAGGATCGAGGCCGCAGCTGCAGTGCTCGCTGGAGGACGGAGGGGGGCGGATGGTATGAATGCTGAACCGTCGAAAGGGATAGAGATGGAGAGTTGAATCGCGGCTATCGAATGAATCGAGACATTCTGCAATGTTGACGGCGGCTGAGGTTCATAAAGGTGCGTTGTTTACTATGCTATCGCGTCAGAGTCGATGCAAGAGTAAGCTGTACATGCCCAGGTGGGAGGAGTCAGCCGGGTTCTTAAGAGGGGAAATGCAGGTAGAAAAGAGGGCAGAGCAGGGCCGGGTAAGAACAAACTTCGAGAGCAGCGGAGATGTGGGCGAGAGGAGTTTCAGTCAATTCAGTCAACCTTGGAACGGAATGCCTGGAATGACGCGGGCCTGGTGGGCTGCTGAGGCGTCGAGGGCGTGGGCTTGCAAGGTCTCGAATCTCGATGAGTTGGGTCGCAGAGGGTGGCAGTGGGTGGCAGTGGGTGGCAGTGGGTGGCAGTG